GAAAACTGCTCTTTCAGCTGGTTGCTTTTCACAATCCAAATACTCTCTTCTTTCAGGTGCCACAGAAACAGACTGCCAACTGCAAAAAAAGGCCAGCCTGGGTGCCTGTATGGGGCCCACCCCACAGCTTCTCTGAACCATACTAAGCCCAGGAAAGAGTCTACAACAGCCCCTCCTCACCCAAGTTTCTGCACGTTTTTCTCACAAGGGATAAACTTTTGTATTGATACATCACAGTGTGCTCTTCACCTTCATGAACTACTTTTTTTCTACCACTTTAAAAATAACTCCATATGCTACTTTGTTTAAAAAAAAAATCTTAAACAACTGAAAATAAGTGTATTACGTTTGCAATTAATATCTGGTGTTGGCAAGAATGTGCAGGAAATGGGAACACATATCTTGTAAGCATGTAAAAAGGTAGAGTGATTGGAAATCAGAATTTAAACTGCACGTTTACTTTGACCCATCAATGCTACTTCCAGAAATCTATCCCTGAGAAATGTCTGCAATGAGGCTCAATGACAGGTAATGAGATTCACTGTAGTAATGTTTATTACAGTGATAAATGGAAATAACTTAAATGTTCATTAATTGAGGACTTAATTATGGCACCAGCCTATCTGGTAACATAACACAGTACAGGAATACAGTCTCCTTTTCTGGTTTTGTACTTTCCTGACCTCTAAAGATGGTTATGTCCTAAGGTGTGGTCCTTGTACCACTTCTCTATTTATACTCACTGTCAATGGGAGCTTTTCCACTCTCATGGTGTTAAAGCATACATACAACATACCTTAGAGATGCAGGCTTGGCTCCAGACCACTGCAATAAAATGAATATCGCAATAAAGCGAGTCACACAAATTTTTTGGTTGCTCAGTGCATGTAAAAGTTATGTTTACACTATACTGTAGTCTATTAAGTGTGCAACAGCATTATGCCTGAAAAAACACAATATACATGCTTTAATTGTAAAAAATACTTTTTTGCTATAAAAAGCTAACCATCATCTGAGCCTTCAGGGAATCACAGCAGTGACATCAGAAATCACTGATTACAGATCACTATAGCGGATATAACAATAATGAAAAAGTTTGAAATACGGTGAAAATTACCAAAATGTGACATAGAGACACAAAGTGGGCAAATGCTGAAAAAAAAAAAAAAATGGCACTGATAGAGTTGCTTGATGTAGGGCTGCCATAAACCTGCAATTTGTAAAAAAATGCAGTATCTGTGAAGCGCCATAAAACAAGGTATGCCAGTACCTGCTTTAATTCCCAAATCTTAATCAGCAGCATGGACCTCCATCTTCAATTCCAGAATTGTATATACTTCAGAAATATATACCCAGCTATGCACGTGACATCTCCACTTGGGTGTGTTTAACCACTTGGATATCTCAAAATAAAATATCTAAAAGTAAACTCCTGATTTCCCCCTTGCTATTTCTCACTTCAGAAAGGGTAATTCCTTACCTGTAGTTGCTCAGGCAAAAATTGGTAGCTATCATTGCCTCCTTCCCTTTCTCTCCACTCAGAAAATTCTGACAGCTGTACCTTCAATACATATTGAGAATCTGAACTCTTCTGAAGACTTTTACTACCTCCATGCTGATCCAAGCCATTAAGAGAGTCTAAGGTTTTATCATCTCCTACTTGGTCTCACTGCTTCCACTCCTGTCTTCTTTCAGTTGATTCTCAGCACAGCAGCCAGAGCAATCCTTTTAGAAATAAGTCAAATCATGTCACTCCTATGCCTTAGCCCTCGGATGGCACTCCTGTCTCACTCAAAATAAAATCCAAAGGATTTTGAATGGCCCACAAAGCCCTGTATACGTAATCTGGCTCTCATTGTTATCTCTGAACCATTTTGTACAACCCTGCCCCTCATTCTAGGCTGCTCTCCCTTGCTGCTCCTTGTTTATTCCTAATATACAGACAGTGCTTACTTCGCACAACACTGACATGTGTGACTTTCACATACATACGTGTAACTGTATTCCCTCAGTCCCCCACCAGCACTGTTCGAATTTCAGTTACTACAGTATAATTATTAACTGTGAGTAACTTCATAAAGTGCAAACTTTGCTACTAGCTCTTCGGTCCACAAATCACTCTGTAACTTACAGACATGCACATCGCACATCACTTCTTTCGAAGTATGTCGTTGACTGGTTGATTACTGCACGTCTACTTCTCAGTTCATGCAGACAGCGAAGTGTGTAGTTGTGCTGTCTAGTTTCCTAGTGATAAACCCAGGTGAAATTTTACAAAAATGAACGACTGAAAGAGAACTGGCCAACAGCGATGAAAATGCAGAAAAAAATGTGATAAATCTAGAAGTAAAATGGGATGTGATTAGAAGATCTGAAAATGGCAACAGCAAAGATAATTTAGGATGAGACCTAGGCTTGTATGAAGCTATGGCTTGGACCACACTGAGAAAGTCCAATGAATATAAAAAAGGTGGTAAAGTCATTTTACTGTAAGCCACTATAGTGAAACGGAGTATTTACTTCCATTCTGGATTGAAGACTGTAAAAAAACCCCACAACAACCCAATCACTCAGACCAAAGTGTTGAATTAACTGCCACATTGAAAGAAGATGGAAATTACAGGGAGGATTAAAAAAACCCAAAAAACCAAAGCCTTTTACAGCCAATAAAGGCTGGATTCATTTTTTCAATAGTCAGCATTAATTTGATTAATGTAAGCTATCTGGTGAAACTGCTAGCACAGATAAAGATGCTGCTGTGGAATGTGCACCCAGATTCCAAGGATTAGTTAAGGAAGATGGTTTGATAAAAGGATAAAGATGTACCTGGAAGTGATGCTGGCAACAACCTCACATTAAAGGAACTTCTGGAAATAATTTACAACACTGAAAAGACAAAGGACAGGGACTTCCCTGGTGGCACAGTGGTTAAGAATCTGCCTGCCGGACTTCCCTGATGGAGTAGTGGTTAAGAATCCACCTGCCAATGCAGGGGACAAGGGTTTGAGCCCTGGTCCGGCAAGACCTCACAGGCCGTGGAGCAACTAAGCCCACGCGCCACAACTACTGAGTCCCGTGTGTTATAGCTACTGAAGCCCACGCACCTAGAGCCCGTGCTCCGCAACGAGAGAAGCCACCGCAATGAGAAACCCGCGCACCACAACGAAGAGTAGCCCCCACTCGCCGCAAGCAGAGAAAGCCTGCGCACAGCAACGAAGACCCAACACAGCCAAAAAATAATAAATAAATAAATAAATTCTTAAAAAAAAAATCCGCCTGCCAATGCAGGGGACACGGGTTTGATCCCTGGTCTGGGAAGACCCCACACGTCATGGAGCAACTAAGCCCATGTGCCACAACTACTGAGCCCCCGTGCCACAACTACTGAAGCCCGCACTCACAGTAATGAAGACCCAATGCAGCCAAAAGAGAAAAAAGATAGGATAAAATGTCAGGGCAGACCCAAACTTAGAAAGGAGTATGACAATTCACCGAAGCATAGAAGGACTCTTGCTCTGTATCATAAGTTATTCAATGTGAATAAGGGAAACATTGTTCCAACTACGGTCGTCCCTCAATACCCGCCCCCGCAGATACCAAAATCCATGGATACCTGTGGATGCTCGAGATGTGGAACCCTTAGATACAGAGGGCCAACTGTACTCTCGATTGGCTTTTATTTATTTATTTATTTATTTATTCTTTTTTGGCTATGCTGCGCAGCTTGTGGGATCTTTGTTCCCGACCAGGGTTTGAACCTGGGCCCTCAGCAGTGAAAGCGTGGAGCCCTAACCCCTGGACTGCCAGGGAATTCCCACTTGATTAGCTTTTAGAAGGAAATAAAACACTTTAATTCTCAGCGTTTCTGATGTTCAAATTACAGTGTACTAAATAAATTTTAGTTTTACTATGTTTTTCATTTCCCTATATATTTTAACTGACAGTTAAGAGAGTTTTTGATATGTTCACAAATGTTTTTAAGGTCACAACAATTATAAATAACCATGCACAGTTTCCGTTTACATGGTTATTTGCACATTCCTGCACTAATGTACAAAGTGGTGACTGCAAATACTCCTACCTCAAAGTCTTAGTCCCTGCTCTTTCCTCTGCCTGACAGTCTGACATCAGGGAGCATGTGGCTTATTCCTCCATGCTCTTAAAGCCTCTGCTCAGAGAGGCCTTTCTATAAGTCATCACCCCTTCCTCCCATCACTTATATTCCATTTACACTGTTTTCTTTTTCTTCACATATTTATTATTTCTCTACACTCACTAGACAGTAAGCTTAAGGAGAATGGACACTTTCAGTCACTCTTATATCCCCAGATTCTAAAATGATACTTGGCACACACATGGCATTCATAAATTTTTTTTTGAAGTTTTATGAAGAAGTAGATATAAATATATTAACATGGTAAGCTATTACAGATATAAGTATAAAATGCAGTATATAAAACAATCAACAAAATCCCTGTTTTTAAGAATCTATCAATCTATCTACACGTGTATGTAGAAAAAGATGTGGAAAGATGCTTAACAGAACTTTAACCAATCAATATTACTCTGGGGGAGTGCCACTGGAGGGGGGGTGGAGAATAGGACGATTTTCTCTTTATACCTTAAATATTTTTATATTGTCTCATTTTCTTTTCCAAAATATTACTTTTAGAATCAAGGAGATGAAGAGTAAAGAAAACAGAATGCATTAACTATTGTCATGATGCCATTTTCGATAGCAACAATAACTGGGTGTTTACTGTGAGGCAGGCTCTGTTCTAAGTGGTTTCAATACACAAGGAGCCTATGAGGCAGGTGCTGTAAGTATGCCCACTTCATAAATGAGGTAAATAACGGTCAGAGAGGCTGAGAAACGTGTCCAGATCTCATAGCTAGAAAATGGTTCTTTCAGATGCACACACTAGTGGTTTTTTTTAGAGGCAAATGATGTGAAGTCTGCGACATGTATTAGACTTTTCTGTCCTCAATGATGTGCTCACCCTGCAGGCCTAGGCGACCCAGACGTACTCCGCATAGAGCTCTCCACTCGAGGGCTAGCCACTTCAGGAGGCTGAGGAGGAATGAGGGTTTTCCGAACTGCCATTCTGAAAGAGTAAAGAGACAAACCCAGACGGCATTAAAGGATAAGAACTACACATTTGCTAAGTGTACCTATGGCTAGGTATTTTTTAATGGATTTTCAAATTTTACCAAAGTAATGAAGGCAGATTATTTAAAAAACCAAATAGTACTAAAACGCTTTTAATAACATACAGCAGATCGCTTCCCCCTGCCTCCCCACTTCCTGCCTGTCTCTCTTCAGGAAGCAACCATTGCGACTCTTTTACCTGCTTCTTCTACCTTCTACCTACATATCTCCTTTGTACTTAACAGTAAAATTTAGGGACTTCCCTGGTGGTGCAGTGGTTAAGAATCCGCCTGCCAATGCAGGGGACACGGGTTCAATCCCCGATGCCGCAGAGCAACTAAGCCCATGTGCCACAAGTACTTAGTCTGCTCTAGAGCCCACGAGCCACAACTACTGAGCCCACACGCCACAGCTACTGACGCCCTCGCACCTAGAGCCTGTGCTCCGCAACGAGAAGTCACCGCGATGAGAGGGCCGCGCACCGCAATGAAGAGTAGCCCCCCCTCACCACCAGAGAAAGTCCACACGCAGCAATGAAGACCCAACGCAGCCAAAAATAAATAAATAAATATATAAAACATAAATAAATAATAAAAAAAATTAAAAACAAAATAACATTTAAATCTGTTTAGCAGTTACAATCATTATTGTACCTATGTATTTATACTGACCTGAGGAACTGAGCGAAAACAGTTGATCAAGGTAGCTAGTGATCAACTGTGTCACGCAGTACAGAGGCCACACGTGGCTCCGACTGACCACTAACTACTGGAGCTTAGCAATGTGGAAGTCATAAGTGATCTTGACACATTTAGTTTTGGCGGAGTGGTGCAAGCAAATGCTAGAAGAGTCCGTCTGAGACGAAACGGCTAGAGCATACCACTTTGCAATGCCTAACTGCGAATGGATCCAGACACTGATCGTAAGACTGCTAACATCTCAAAAAGGTTGACTTCCACACAGCATACTTCTCCTGATAAAAAGACTAAACCACCAACTTAGGAAGGAGTCTTGCCAAAAGGGGAGAAAAAGTGAAGTTCACCAAGCCTTTAGATTCAAGTAACAACTTAGAGAAAATGTGGAGGAGAGAATAACAAGTGAAACCAGACAATGGGGGCAGGGGGTTGGATTGTGTTCCCTCATATGACCCATCCGAGTCCTAACCCCTGCTGCTCGTGAATGTAAAAAAAATAGGGTCTTTGCCAACGTAATTAAGTAGATAAGATCATTCTAGACTTAGGGCAGGTCCTAAATCCAATGATCGGTATCCTTTCAACAGAAAGGAGAGGGAGATTTGAGACACACAGACACAGAGGGAAGGCCATGTGGATATGGAAGTAGAGATTGGAGTGGTGCATCCACAGGCCAAGCAACACAAAGGACCGCCAAGAGCCACCAGAAGCTGGAAGAAGGGCACGGCGTGGATCCTCCCTGAGAGTGTTCAGAAGGAACCAACCCTGCCGACGTGTTGATTTCAGACTTCTAGTCATCAGAACTGTGAGAATAAACTTTTGTTGTTTTAAGCCATCAAACTTGGGGCAATTTGTTATAGCAGCCCTAGGGAACTAACAGAATGGGGATGCAATCGACAAATTCAGGAAGAGTTGGGAGGGGAGAGGAAAACTCTACAGGACAAAAGACCAAGTTTCTTCAACAGACAAACTGCAAGGAAAAAAGAAATGGAGGTAACATATATTAGAAGAGTCTTAGTAGACATATCGACCAATCGTAATGTGTGTACCTTATCAGAATACAGACTCAAATAAATAATATAACAAAACAAAATTTGTGACATTTGAGATCACTGGAAGTTTGAACAATGACTAAATATTTGATAACATTATGGGGTTATAACATTTTTTTAAAGTATGTATTTCAATAAACACATGCTGAAATATATACAAATATATACAAACAAAATGATGTGTTCCCTATGATTTGCTTCAAAATAATATGGTGGAAAGGCATACAGATAAAACATGAACTGATAAGTTAATAACTGAAGTTGAATGATGGGTATAAATTCAGATGTTCAAATTTGTATTATGTTTAAACCTTCCACAATAAAAAGTAAGAAATAAACAAAAAAGCAAGACCACTCAATCCCCCATTGCTCAGTACAAACAAGCCCTCCAAACCCCTAAAGAGATACACTACTATAAACCCACAGAGTGACCAAACTTAAAAAAGAGTGCCAAATAACAAGCGTCGATGATGATGAAGGCAAGGACCCCACTGCTGGTGAGAGTGTAAATGGGTACAAACACCTGGACAAACTGCTGGCGTTACCTGCTGGCGCTGAAAATGAGCACAGCCCACAGCCCAGCAAATCCCCTCCGAGGTACATAACAGCACTTCATTTATGGATGCATCAAAGGTGATGCACAAAGAGGTTCGGGGTAACATTATGGCCCTAAACTGGAAATAACCATTATGGCCCTAAACTGGAAATAACCCAAATATCCATGGTTAAACTATGGTATTCTCAGACAAGGGCATTTTATATAACCGTAAAAAAAGTTACAATTATATGCAGTAACATGGATCAATCTCCCAAAATCAAGTGAAAGAAGATGGACTCACACAAAAAATGTATATGATTCTATGGGAGCTCAAAAAGAGGCAAAACAAATCCATAGGGTAAAAAGAAAAACTGAAAAAAAAAAAAAAAAAAAAAAAAAGAAAAACTGGTTAGTAATCTTTGGGAGAAAGTGCTGGTAATGTCCTGTTTCTTAACCGATACAGCAGTTATACGTTTGTGCTGACTCATTACGCTGTACATACATTATCTGTGCAGTTTTCTATACTTCAGTGAAAGTGCTGAAAGAAAGAGAGACTGGAAGAAGTGGGGCTAGCAAACAGAGACAATGCCTTCATTTTCACTGCAAACAGGAGCAAAAAAATGGGGCAGAGAGTGGAGCAAAGTGGAAGAAACGATAACAAGTTTATACTTGTTTACGTGAAGGATCCACTAACAAGAAGAAACTGACGGAGGAGAGAGGCAGAAGAGCTGGAGCAGGTCTCACGGAGGTGAGACGGGCGGCAGTCGGGCGCTCTGGAGAGACGACCTGAGAGCTCAGCTCTGAGTGATGAGCCCGCCACTGAGAGATGGAGGCGGAGCTGGAGACAGGCAGGCAGGCAAGCCTGTGACAGCTAGCTTGCGAACTTCTCTTCTGTGTGTTTCCATTTTCTCAAGAACGTAGCAGAAAGAAAAAAGTAGGTGGGCACATTCATTAGCTACAAGTGAACGCGGGAGAGGAGGCGTGGAAGTCTGGAAAGGAGCAGAGGTACACGGGTGTCTGGAGGAATGGCCAAGGAAAGCAGACTGTGCTGGTCCGCTGGGAGATCCCTGGGGAGGTGTGTGAGGTTAAGGCGGACGAGGCAACACTCTGCTGCACACAGGCAAGCGGCACAACACAAATTAAGCAGAACGCTGGATTTTAACTCTGACTTTGACAAAGTGAAGAGGACGACAGGGAAGCTGAGGCTGCACGCAAGGAAATGACTGCAACGCACCACAGACTCTGAACCAGGGAGGGCAGACAAAGAGACCAGGAAAGGCAGTGAGGAAAGTGAAAGGGTGGTGAGGACCAATAGACTGAAGGCTCCCAGCTGGGTCTTGCTGGGAGTCGCTGCCAGGGACGTGGAAAGAGAGGCGGGCTGTGGGACCCTAGGGTACAGAAAAAGCTGCTGAACTTTTGTGCCGTGGAGTGCCAGCGCTCATGGGTGTGCCCTGCTGAGGGAGGGCGGATGCAGAGGATGCATTCAAGCAACTGAGAGGCCAGAGAGCTGGGAAATCATTTCTGTTTACATTAAAGTTGAAGACGGTATGACACAGCCAGACACTATGTACCTTCTGAAGGGCAAACACAGACCCCAAATCAAACCTGGATCTGTCCCACAAGGTAGCCACCAGCCACATGGGGCTACTAAGCACTTGAAAGGTGACAAGTGCAACTGATGAGCATGATTTTTAACAATATTTCATTTAAACTAATTTGAATTTAAAAACTGGTACTTGGTTCAGTTACTGGAAAACTTTTCAGTGGGTCTGGATTAACCTGGCTATGTGAAACTACTTTTTCAATTGCAAATTTTATGAAATCTAAATACAGACCAGGAAGCATGTCCACTGTTGAGAAGGGTGGGCCTGAAAGTGGCAGTGAGGCCCAAAGAGGACAGCCACCCCACCTCCAGGCCCAGTGACAGGATGGAATGGGGAGGGAGAGACAGCCACCACCCTGGGGAGAGTCGAGGAAGTCGAGACCCCGGAGAAGAGCCAGGTTCCAATTAAAGCAAGAAGCCATGCTCAGAGAAGAGGTCAGGCCACAGGGGACTGAGATGATGACGGACGATCTCAGAGGGCACAGCAGAAGGGACTTTGGAGGTGACGAAGCATGGGAGAAGGGGCAGATCTCATTTTGTCCAGTGCTGTGAAATTTCAAAATATTTTACCTTGGTGCCAGTTTGTATCCATTGCCATCTACTGTACCAAGCATTTCATGGTTCGTTAAAACAGGAAACTCCTACCCTTCGGCTTTGGTGATTTTCTATGAATTATTTTTAAGTCGTCCTCTTCTCTTCTCTGATCCGTCTTGCTGAAACCCCATCACTTGGAGGCAGGATCTCCTGAACTGGCTCTTTAAATTTTGGGTCTTTTCTCTCCTATTCTCTATCTCTTTGTCTTTTTGCTCTACTTTTGAGAGATTTCCTCAATTTTACTTTTCAAGTTTTCTACTGAGTTTTTGATTTCTGGACACATTCTTGTTCTCGGAATGTTCCTTTTGTGGAGCATGGCCTTCCTGTTTCATGGACGCAGTTTTCATATGTCCTTTGAAGATGGTACTGACAGTGTCTGTCTCTGTTCATGCGTTCTTATGTTTTGTTTTTAGTTTTATTCTCCTTGCCTAGCCTCTGCATCTTCCGAGCTGCTTTTTTCAGTGCGTTCGCTGTGGCTTCTATCTTGCATCGTTAGAAGAAGCCTCAGATACCTGACAGGCTTGGCTGCACGCTCATGAGGAGGAGTGGGGGGACTAAAAAGCCGGTTGGAAGCTCTGAGCTTGTGGCGGGGCTTGTTTACTTTAAGGGCGATCGGAGCCCTGTCCTTAGTGTCCTTAAACCCCTACTGTTGGTATCCTTAGCTCTTTCCCCTCGGGCTGGAACGGACCCTAGAAGCAGAGTACAGTCGCCTTCTCACTTTCTGTCAACAGAGTTAAATTCAGCTGCCAGGGTCGTGTCAGCCACGAGGGACAAGTCTCAGCACTCCACACAGGCTTGGTCCCCTAATCCGTTTTTGGTACAGCACCATGCCCTTCACTGTGCTGGCTAATCCAGGTGGATACCCCCAGTTCTTCCCGCTCCTGGTCCTTTTGAAGATTCACAATTTAAACAAGGATGGTTCTCAGCGCTCTTCTCTGCAGACTTAACGTTCACCTTTTTCACGGCTAAGGGAGCGAGTGAGCACTTGCCTATTTGCTTTCCAGCTTCAGAGACTTGTTGCTGTTGTGTCTTCTCCTATTCTCCCCATCTCTGTGTGTTTATAATCTTTTTTAAAAAAAATATTTATTTATTTACTTACCCACTTACTTATTTTTGGCCGTACTGTGTGGCTTGTGGGATCTTAGTTCCCCAACCAGGGATGGAACGTGCGCCCTTGGCAGTGAAAGCGTGGCGTCCTAACCACGGACCACCAGGAAATTCCCTACAGTCTTTTTAAAAAGCCTCTTTACTATAAGTTCTGTAGGGTTTTGAGAGGAAGAGAAATTTAGAAGTGCATATTCAATCTGCCATCTTAACTACAAGCTCTGCCTTGTGTTTTCATTAATATGGTTACTGTGTCATGGACTGACCTAGTATTAAGACAGAGACTCTGGTCTCTGTTATGGCAGAGCACATACCTTCCCACCCGTGACCCACCAACTCAGAAGCTTATATGACAACACAGAACACTACTTGCTACTAAATACGACCCTTAATACACTTGGGAGACTGCTTGCCCTGAGCAACAATTCATTTAGGACAATGAGGAAAAAATACACAGCACACATTACTGTGCCTAGCTAGACAAGCCTGAAGAGTTCACTTCAAGCTACTTTAGGGGTTCTAGGGTTAAACTCTCAGAACCAGAGAGAACTCCTCAAAGTACGTAATATGCAACACATGCTTACAAACTGACACCCAACTGACTCCTGGATTCTTACCATCCTGCAGTCTGAGCTTGGCAAGGCTCTACTGAATAACCCGGCGGTCAAGTTATTTGGGAGGAAACTGAGTTTGCTATCAGCACTGGATTACTGCCTACTGTTTACACCAATTACTTCCATCCAGAATTAGCAGTGTCCTTTGGCACTTCTGGATCTACTCACCCATCTGTGGCAGGTTTCTTCCGGAGTATACTTGGCCGTGGGGACGAGCCCTGGGCTGGAGCGTTGGTGCTCGCACTCTGGCTGTGAGTCTGCACCACAGTTGTTGCTGCTGGAGCAGCACTGAATGGGTTGCTAAGAGGGTTGGCTACAATTGTGGCTCCATCTGCCAACACCACTGCTGGAGGACAGGAAAGAGCAATGAAGAGAAGGAAACGGAAGTAACATCACTAAAATGTCACGTAAGACAAAAAACAACGATCAGACCACCACAATCAAGAGTATCCATGTTAGGACTGTCCAATTTCAAGAAGATGAGGGATACGGACAAAAGCAGATGGCAAATTGGGGAGGTTACAAAGTCTACTGATGCACGATTAAGAACGTCTTTTCTTTGCTCTACAATCAGAATTACTAATAAGTGAGATAAGATACATAAAGTATATAGTATACTGCAAGAAATGTTCTGCTACAGTTTTTTGGTGAAATACCACCACCTCTCAATCCCTAATAATGGTACCAACATTCCAGTCTATCTTTACAGCTTTATAAACAACTCCAAAAAAAATCTTAGGGAATTTCCTGGGGGTCCAGTGCTTAGGACTCCGCACTTCCACTGCCAGGGCCCAGGTTCAATCCCTGGTCGGGGAACTAAGATCCCGCAAGCCACGCAGCACGACCAAAAGGTAAAAAAGAAAAAGAAAATCTTGAAATGGAATGAGAACACTAGTCTTATAAGGTGAATGTACTCCCTCAACTAAGAGCTCTTTTAGAACGCTTCTCCCCATGTGCAAGCGCACGTTAGGCTGTTTATGTACGTAGTTTCTAATGCTTACAAAGACCCTGACAGGTAAGTTCTAAGCAACTCATGTTACAAAGAGAAAATCAAGGCCTAGCGAGCTTACCTGAGACCACAAAGCCAGCAAGTGGCAGAACCATGATTCAAACCCTGTGTACCTTTTCCCTCCACACCAACTTCCATGTAAAAAATTAAAATTACCTGAAGTCTTTCCTTCAGGCTGAGGCTGCTGGGTCCCTATTGGTGCAGGCTGAAGTCCTTGGGTGCTGATTGGGGTTGCTGAGTGAATGCCCTGTGTGCCTATGGGGGCTGGCTGGATCCCTGGGGTCCCAATGGGAGCTGGCTGGATGCCCTGTGTACTGATGGGGGCTGGCTGGATCCCTTGGATATGTCGAGCGTGGGATGCATCCACTGTCATCAACTGCATGGGGTTCAGGTGGACTGTGGACGCCACCCCGACTCCAGTCTGAGCCGTGATGGCAGAGTTTGGAGCCTGAGCTGAAACTAAAAATGATGCAAAAAGTGACAAAAATGTTAGCTTTGATTGGCACAGTCCACATAAGGAGAAAGACACTCAAATCAAAACAATTTTTCCACTGTTCAAGATCTAAACTCTCAGTTTAAAAAAAAAAGTGCTACGTAAACTCTATACGTTGAGGCTTCCCCCCCACTACTTGCACCAATTTGATACGATCTCTGCAGATTGCTAGAAATAGCATTAAAATGAGAAAAAAGCAATCATTTATTAAAAGCCAAATGTGAGCCAGGCAACTATGTAAGTAATTAATATAAAACTTCTGAGATACATCCGTGCCTCCAGGTCAAGAATCTTTGCTTTAATTGATAGAACCACTATCACAGGCACTTCTGAAATACAGTAGTTGCGAATTTTAAATTCCAAAATATGCACTGAAGAGAGAAGTAACTTGTCCTTTTATCTATCAGGCAAACATATCATCTGTGTATATTAAAAACAAACAAACAGAACTGAAAACAAAAACATTCCCAGGAAGCGACAAAGAAAGAGGCGATTTCTCACTGTTTGTGGAAAGAAAAACAAACAAAAGACTTTTCTTCTCGGTCATCAAAACAATCTGGAAAAAGATATACGTATCCCCATGTTCACTGCAGCATTATTTAGAATAGCCAAGATATGGAAACAATCTGTGTCCATTAGTGGATGAATGGATAAAAAAGATATGGTATATGTATCCATACACACATAATGGAATATTACTCAGCCATTAAAAAAGAAAAACCCGAAATACTGCCATTTGTGACAACATGGATGGACCTAAAGGGTATTATGCTTAGTGAAATAAGTCACAAAGAGAATGACAAATACCATATGATCTCACTTATATATGGAATCAAAAATGCAGAAAACAAAAATAAACCAAGCTCTTGGATACAAAGAAGACTGCTGGGTGCCATAGGCAGGGGTGGAGAGTGGGCGAAATGGGTAAAGGTGGCCAAAAGGTACAAACTTCCACTTATAAGATAAATAAGTCATGGGGATGTAATGTACAGCATGACGACTATAGTTAGCAATACTGTACTGTATATTTGGGACTTGCTAAGAGAGTAGATCTTAAAAGTTCTCATCACAAGAAAAACAATCCTTAACTGGACGGTGACAGATGTTAACTAGACTTGTGGTGATTATTTTGCAAAATATATATAAACATTGAATCATTAGGCTGTACATGTGAAACTAATATATGTCAATTACACCTCAATTTTTAAAAAATAATCTGACTGAAAATGTTTTATAAACCATAGAGATAAAGGTTTAAATTATTATTATGCATAAGCAAAGTATAGTGAAAAGTTACTACGTGTAAATTTATAGTCATGGCTATACTGTAATTCTTCCTTTGTAAAACAGATACATACACAATTTCCAGAGCATTATAGCTTCTTCCTGAGAAGTGTATCTGTGCTATTTCTGTTAAATAACAGCTTTTGGCCACTTGCCTGCTGTTGAGCCTGCAGTCTGGTCGCCACTCCAAGCCTTTTTAAGATCCAATCTTATCTCACACTCTGTGCTCTCACTCGCACTGTGCTCCTGCCCAAACCACTCTCTTCCGACCACATACTCCAGCTAACACTTTATTCACAGACAGCAATGTGCTTTCCTCCAAACCCACTACGGCTCTGCCCTATACTTTCTGAAAGATGCTTTCCAAATGTCACTTCCTTCAGGAAATCACTCCTGACCTCCAACCCTACCTTCTCAAGTAGACATAACCTCTTGCCTCAGAAGCAGCATGGCTTTGCTCAAGCCCCTCTTTTAAGATTCAGCATATTATAATGTCTCTTCATGTCTAATCTTCCTACTAGACTCTAAGCTTGTTGAAAGCTGTTTAAAAGTCAACTTCAAAAATAGAGCCTAGCATAGGAGCCTTACACAGGACCTTACAAAAAAGTAGGGTTTCAATAAATATTCAATAGGATACTGTAAGCTGGTTACTAAGTCATTTTTTCATTTGTGTCCATCCATGTTTAGATTCACATGTCTGAGAAATAATATATTACCTATCATCTGCACCAACAATGACAGTTTGATCCTGGAAGAAATAAAGTATTGAACGTACTATTCATTTTTCTGTGTTAGTATCTATCAGGGCTACAGCAGTGATGAAAGAGGAATAATGTAGAGAAACAGATGACTGGCAGGATCCCCAACACTTCAGACAGTGCTCTTATGATGGATTTTTACAGTAAAGGTTTATATAGCATGATAGTGTCTGCATAGTTGATTCTAGGTCAAGAGAGACTCTGCATGCCCTTTTCAGCTGGCTAGCATTCAGAGAAATACACAGTGGTCATGAATGACCTTCTCCATAAAAGCAAAATGACTGCACTGTTATAGAAGTTCTGTTATAGAATCGTGTTATAGAATTCTGTTATAGAGTTCTGTTATAGAACTTCACTGTTATAGAATTCGAGGTAGTAGATGAAGGAGAGAACCTGAAGGTAAGTGCTGTTACTGATAAAGAGACTTAAGAATTTTCAGCAGTTAGTGTGACACACACACACACGTGAAATTTACTTCCTAATTGTCAACACGCTTCTGTGATACTTTTTGCATCCTACTTTTGGCAACAATCAATTAAACATTATTCTACTTTATAAGATTGTTAATAAAAAAACACTGTTATGAAGTTCCTTTAAAAAGAAAGTTTTGAAAAACAAACACCCCCCACCCGGCAAAAAAAAAAAAACCTCAAAACACACACATAGAGCAATGTAGAGATGGAGGAACCTATTTTCAAAGCTATTTAAACCTCAGTATTGGGACTTGCCTGGTGGCGCAGTGGTTAAGAATCTGCCAATGCAGGGGACATGGGTTCAAGCCCTGTTCCGGGAAGATCCTACATGCCGCGGAGCAACTAGGCCCGTGCGCCACAACTACTGAGTTTGCGCTCTAGAGCCCAAGAGCCACAACTACTGAAGCCCGAGCACCTAGAGCCTGTGCTCCACAACGAGAAGCTGCTGCAAGGAAAAGCCTGCGCAGCTCAATGTAAGAGTAGCCCCGCTCACCACAACTAGAGAAAGCCTGCACACAGCAACGAAGACCCAACACAGCCAAAAATAAATAAATAAATTTATATATATAATTAAAAAAACCCTCAGTGTTTGAAAGTTTTAGACTAGCACTGTCCTAATGAAAATATAAGTCATACACGCAATTTTAGATTTTCCAGTAGCCACATTAATAAACTAAAACGCAGGCCAGGGCTTCCCTGGTGGCGCAGTGACGACGCAGGGGACGCGTGTTCGTGCCCTGGTCCGGGAAGATCCCACAGGCCGCGGAGCGGCTGGACCCGTGAGCCATGGCCGCTGAGCCTGCGCGTCCGGAGCCTGTGCTCCACGACGGGAGAGGCCACAACAGTGAGAGGCCCGCGTACCACACATACACACACAAAAACGCAGGCCGAGTTCATTTTAATGACATATCTTGTTTAACTCAATATATCCAAAGATTATCATTTCAAAATATAATCACTATAAAAGTTATTAATAACATACTTTACATTCTCTTTTCCATATTATGTCTTCAAAATTCAGGGTACATTTTACTCTTAAAACACATCTCAATTCAGAGACTAAATTTCAGAAATATTCGATTTGTATTTTGATCCCATAAAATCTACAATTTTGAAAAAAGTAGTTGCATATCACTAAGTTGCGCTAAACATATTTGAAATTTCTCTCATTTTAATTAAGTAAAACAAAAAATTCACTTCTTCATTTGTGCCGGATCCCCTTCAAATGCTCAATGGCCACATGTGGGCGCAGCTGCAGTCCTGGACGGCACAGCAGACAGGCAATGGCCACAATCTGACAACCTGGCTTTCTTATGCCTGAAGTGAGCTGAGGGTCTCACAGGAAAAGACTATACAAACCCTGAGGTTTAAGTAGCATTGTTTATTCTGGATTGGCAAAAAGAACACTATTTACCGGACTGGATAGTGAATTTTGAGCACAACTGGACGAACATTAAAAACACAACAAATATCCCACAAAACAACAGAAGCCCCGTAAGAGTACAGCTTTATTCGTTTTTAACTGCACTTCCATTTTAAGGGATAACAGAAACTGTTAACGTAATTATCCTCAGGGTGGGATAAAATCATGCTACTATCACTAATAAGTAACAACTTTTTAGATTTCAGGGATGGTGATTTACAACCTTAAAGCTTCAGATTTCAGCCTTATCTGAATCTGAAAATAAAAGCTAGAGTAATTAAATCCATACTAGAAATATTCACTGATCAATTTCTATCTCATTGCATGCAAAAATTAAAATGTTAAAAGTCATCTTAACAGTGGGGCTCATACCTGGATACTGTCGAATGGTGGACACAGAGCTGGTGATCGGGGTGTAGGTGTGAGCAGCCAGTGGGTACGCAGAAGGTGGGTACGTTGGCAGAAAGTACTGGAACTGAACAGGAACAGATGGTCTATAGATGGAACACAGAGAATATGAACCAAAATGGTTTTTCTTCTTTCCCTTCAAATGATCCTATCCCCTACAAACTCTTTTTACTTTTAACTGCCATACTAACGTTTCCTAAATTGCATCCCAAACAATTATATCAAAGGATACAGACCTAGAGAGAGTAATATTTTAACACGGATGGACCTAGAGATGATCATACTAAGTGAAGTAAGTCAGAGAGAGAAAGACAAATACCATATGATGTCACTTACAGGTGGAATTGAAAATATGACACAAATGAACTTATTTACAGAACAGAAACAGACTCACAGACATAGAAAACAAACTTGTGGTTACCAAAGCGGAAAGGGGCAGGAAGGGATAAATTAGGAGTCTGCGATTAGCAGACACAAACTACTACACATAGAATAGATAAACAACAAGATCCTACTGTATCGCATATATATATATAAAACTGAATCACTTTGATGTATACCAGAAACTAACAACAACATTGTAAATCAACTGTACTTCGGTAAAAAAAGAAAAGAAAAGAACAAAACTAATAAGCATTTCTATACACCACAATAATCAAACAAGAATATTTAAAAATGATCCAATTCTGAAATTACTTCATGTGCACTCCACCAGGTTCTCACTGTGGGGTGGGAGAAGGGAGATACAAATACGGAATGGGGGAGGTAATGGAGCTAGACCGGAGCTACCAGAATGTACTTAGTTTTTAAAATGTTATATACTTCCTACCTCTCTGCCTGCTGAATGGGCCTAGAAGTAGTGACAATCCAGTAACAACAAACAGAGCTAACGGCTAGATCTTAGTTTCTAAATGATGCAAAGGAACCAGGGCTCCTTGGAGAAATGGCAGATTCCAGGGTTCAGAGGGACCAAGTTCACGAAGAGTTTCAAGTATCTTAATGTGGTGAGAAGTAAGGAAGGGCTAGAATGACCAGGACATAGCAAAACCCAGGAAACTAGTCTGAAGGGGCTCCCAAGGACGAACCTGGAGACAATCTGAGCCTCGAAATAGATGACAGTAATGGATTATAATTACGAATAAATAAAACCAAATCCACGAGCCCATGCAGATGTTCAAAAATAAAATACACAGAAAAATAAATAAACGGGGATAGATGAACTTTCTTTACATCAGAATGTCAACTGATAAATATCAACGAAATGATCGAACAAGTCGCTATCTTGCAACCATCATATTGCAACCATCAACTGATCCAGCCAGCAATCATCAATAGAAGCAAAACTACCGAGTGAAAGCTTATAAGGACACTTACAGTCTCAAGGTATTTCCACACAAATTAGTTATTTACAAAAAAGAAAAGTGCACCTTTACAGTAGAAAAATCTGGCATCACCTTCCTTAAGTAATTAATGTTGAGATAACTATTAATGGGACAAAGGGAGAGCATGAGCTCTCTGATGTAATAACAGTGAGAAGAACATATCACCTAATGGTATTCACTTCAAAAATGCACAGCCTGAATCTAACTCTGAGGAACAATCCGACAAGCCCCAATTGAAGAATAGTCTGCAAGAACAATGGCCTATCTATACTCTTCAAAAATTTCAATGTATGAAAGAGAATGGAAAGCTAAAGGACCGTTTCAGTTCCCCATACTGTGGTTAAGTAAGAACAGCTTTGTTCTCTAGAGATGAAAATGGAAATACTTAGGGGATAAGAGGTCATGATGCTGCCACCCTTACACTCACAATGGCTCAAAATAAATTAAAAAGAGAAGTACACAAGTCAAAAAAAAGATACTAGAACATTCATCAAAAGGAGAACGAATAAATACAGCACAGTTTCATAAAATTAAAGAAATTACACAATGTATTAGATTTTCAGGGGGAAAAACTGAAAATAAAGAAATACATGCCATATTCGTGGGACAACTGGTTTCACTGAAAAATCAAAACAATTCGTGACACGATGGGGCACATTCCCTCCTACCTATTGTCACTTCGGGTTTCCATAGCCACAGGATTTGGAGAGGCTCGATGTCCTGAAATGGGAATCAGGCTACTCCTCTCTGCAGGGTAATCGGGTTGGATCCGAGGAGAAGTATGTGTGATTTGCTGAGGCACCACCTTAGCTACAAAAAGTATAATCCAATTACATTACTGCTCATATGCTTTCACTGGCATGCCAAAACATTCTTGGCCAGCAACAATCTTAAGAATGCAAACAGTAATAAGAAGCCTGGATTTTTAGTTTTAACGAAAATAAAAAATGAAAAGATGAGTACCTATGGTTCAACTGAATTATTTCAATCCAATAATCCACTGATATATTTACACTGCTATCTGTCAAAGCAGGGTTCAACATTAATACTTTCGGCAACTACATCCTTTCCCCCTGACCTGGTTTCTTGGAGACCTTTTCTTTAAAAGGAGAAAACTTAAAAAAAAAAAAAAAAATCAACAAAAATTTGAATACAGAAATGGCAAACACCTTAGATTCTTTTCAGGGGCCCATAACTAATTAGTGATAATGTAGCTAATAAGTAATGAGAAGGTCATTTTAATTTCCAAGTCTTAGATTCCTCATCTATGAGGAGGCCATCTCTAGAAAATCACTTAATTTCTAAAGTCTTTTGAGTTTCCTGTGACTTTGCATAATATTTTATGGCAAAATCAAAATGATCATACAGTTTTCAAATTTAATTCTATCTGTAAAGACCCAAGTCATACCAATGGCAGGCACGCAAACACTAGAGACTGGGATGATGCCATCACGTTACCCAAGGTGCAGCACACTGAACACCAAAGGTAAGCAGCAACCCCCCCGGGCCCAGATATTTTCTGAGGGAGGCAGCTGGAGAAGTTTCTGCAGGATGATGGGTGAGATGCCCAGTCTGACCAGCGAGGATGGCCTCTGCTGGCTAATGCAGAGAGGAGCTGGCATGATGTATTTTCCATCAGTAGTCAGTCGAGAGGGTGCTGAGGGAAAAGTGAGTAAGCCTGTGTTTTCACTGTGCCCATAAAAGGTAGGAGAAAATTATGCTTCCAATAAAAAAGCAGCTGTGTCTGGCACAGTAGCTAACATCAGATGGTAACCACACACACACACATGAATCATACCTTTACTTTTTCCTAATTAAAAGGGCCATACAGCCTCAATTATTTAGAAAAAAAAAAAACCTTCAGGAAAAACATAATGCAGAAATCGTAAGTTGGGGCTATTTTCAAAGATAGTCCCTGTTTTCTGTAGGCTGGCATCATCTGATTCTTTTTATAGTTCTGAGACCACTGTCATGTGTGGAGAAAATGAGGGTGGCATTCTATTGGAAATGGGCATTCACTGCAGGTGAAAACCCTATGCTTGGGGTTATCAGGCTCTTCCCCTGATCCAACACATTCCTATTAATAACAATGGCTGAATTCAATATCTAATCTCACCTGGAGAAAGCAAGTGACACTTAGAAAAAGCCACTTAGGTGATTTTAATATAGCTCTTATGCCCTCAACTTGAAAATCAATGCTCTAGGGTTAATATCAGTTTTCCCTTCTCAACTGAGGCCCTTCTGTACAGGGATCCCATCATGATGTAACAAATACCTGAGTTACTACGCAAGAAGAAAACAAAACTAGAGCATAAACCTGACGGAGCTTCGACAAAAGCGATCACACTAAGTAGCAGAGTTTAAATCTGTTTGGACACTTCTGTCAAATGATTTTCAGACCTAGAATTTAGTAAATGGTAAAAGTTCAAAGATAAGTGAGCTGGGGAGTTAGAGAGCACAGCAATACAGTAACTTAGGACAGGTAAGAAGTTGGTAGCTTTAGCCAAATGAGTGAACATTATTTGTCTCCTGCTACTTTCAGTGAGTTTACTTGCACAGTGTTTACTCTTAGGAAGACACGGTGACATTAACAAGAACTGATCTCTAAATAATTCTCCACAGAGAGGGTTCAAGACACAACCAGACAGCCCCCTAGGGGACGCTGCCCCTCTTTACTGGTCTGATTTTCTTCATAGCTACACATTCCCTAGTGAGACTCTCGACTATAAAAATGAAAAGAAGGGGCTTGGCTCTGACTTGACAGCGCTGCAGATAACTGATGACACTGTTAGCTATAGCCAGAAAACAGCCTGAAATGACAACATGGAACAATCAACGATCTTTTTCAACGAAAGTGCTGTAATGCTGAACCTCTAACCCCACTGCCAGACTTCACAGAAGTGAGATTAAATTCAGAGGGTGTGACAGAAGTTTGGTTTCCCCAGTGCCAAGCTGGAGGGAGCAGTAACGTGAGAAAGACCACAGTTATTTTCTCTGCTAAAAGCCGTCTGTGGGGCTGAGTACCAATTTAAGGGCTGGAATGGCTCAGTTATTTAAAAGAGGAGCAAGGGTTTCCTGGGTCCTACCGTTACTCTGGAAAAGTACCTTCAAAGTTTGCTAGGAGGGCTGTGGAAGCTGCAGCCTGTCACACATGCAAAGGAAGGAAGCAGGGAGGGAGGGACCACCCCAGTGCTGGGACACAGCAGGTAGGGGAGACACTTCTGTGTCTGGTCACCAGATTTCTGACCGTCGAGTATGTCAGTGCGTCCTCGCACAAAAGGCAGCCTTACTTCTAAAAGTACAGCAGATTAAAAATATGGCAGCTGTCCCACATCTCTGGGAGTGAAGGAGAGTAAGATGGCACACTCACTGTTACAGAACCAAGGCACAGGTAACACTAGAAACTAAAACCTGTCACTTGTGGGTTAAAGGAGTGTTCTGCCTCATAGGCCACAGCCTCTGCTTTGGAAGCTGTGACAGTAAGCTATCAACTCTGACGATAGGCATCGACAACTTGCCGGCCAAACCTTGCTGATGCCTGTTTTGGCCCGTGAGCTAACAATGGGTTCACACTTTTAAACGGCAGGGGGAGGGAAAAAATCAAAAGAAGACTATTTTGTGACACCTGAAAATGACATGAAATTCAAATTTCTGTGTCCATAAAAAAATCTAACTGAAACACAGCCACACCCATTTGTTTACATATTGTCCACAGCTAGGTAGTTGCACACACCCATGAGGCCTGCAGAACCTAAAGCATTTACGATCCGGCTCTATGGAAAAAGCTTGCCAATCCCTGCTGTTGATCCCTAAAGTTTGGCTGCCAGAAATTTTTCAAAGATGTTTTAATACTGTAAATATACACATATTTAAAAGGGGAATAAGCAAAGCCTGGAAGGAATTTTAGGATGGTCATGAAGTACCTTGGGTGGCACCCAGATAAGAACCTCGGGGAAGTGACTTGAGGTTAGCATTCTTCCCACTGTTGCATCACCCAGAGATTGCTTTTCCTGAACAATCTGTCAGTGTACAAGGTCTCTTCACTCCAGATCTTTGCTTCTTTCTTGCTTTTCCTGTTGTTCTTGTCAAACTTTTATCAGTAAAGTTAACTTACTTTTTAAAAAGGTAAACATAGAAAAGGTAAAGGTTGATGAATAAGTCAAAAGTGGAGTTAAAGTAGTTTACTTTGAGCTCTCAGAGACGGTTATCTTCTTTTTTCTCCCCCTACCATCAAAATGCCAAATCTGTATACGAAATAATACTCAAAGTTAAAGTCGGTGTTGCTTTGAAAATTAACAATTAAAAAAAAAAATCAACACTAGCCAGCTATATGAAGACCTGGTCAGCGGGGCTGAAAACTCCTTGTAAGCTTCCGTCTGCAGGCTGCACACCACTTACCAACCGGGATGTTTGAGGTGGTCACTGCCGTAGCATGGGATGAATGTGAGGGCATTGTCATGGTAACAATTGTACTCGTGGGAGCTTGTGTGTGTGACACCGATCCTGGACAGGAGAAAAAGGGAAATTCTTCAACAACGGCCTCTCTGCACACATTACAGATTCTCAAAAACCCAAGAAAAGCTCTTGGGAAAAAGAAAGAGAATTTTTCTAACCTAATTCTTGTTCTCTGCCTGAAGCTGAGAAATAAAGAATGAACCCACGCCTTATGCCTCCTTCCTCCCTGGCAGGAAGAGCAGGGCTGCCGACTTACCAGCCGTGGTTGCGGAAGGAATGGTGTTGGTTGCCAAAATAGGTGCTACCGTTGCTGCAGCCACTGGTGTGCCAGTACTGAAGATCGTTTTCTGTGTGTGGGGGGTGGGGGGGGAACACCCCACAACACAATTAGAAACAGGAACATCTCCCACCCAATCCCGTTTAAACGCAATCACTGCCTTCGATATTGCCAGGCTTTTAGCAAGTTTTGCACAATTCTGGTTTTAACCCACAGAGTATACAGATGGCTCTTCATCTCTGGTTTTACCTGAGCCATGGTATGGAGCTGCTGTTTTGGCGTCCCTAGCGCAGGGTGAGATGGCAGTGTGATTCTTGTTGTCACATCCCGTGACTGGGCAGGACGCTGAATACTAATTGCTGCAGACGGTGGATGCTGGAGAGACAGAGTTGGCCGACTGGGAAGACAGAAAAGACATCACGATCTATGACTTGTCTCCAGACGCGATGCAGGCAGCCAAGGCCACTTACTGTCTCGTGCTGGATCACAGTCAGAGTTTTATTTTTCACAGGTCTGTGAAGTCCACAGGTGAACCAATGAAGTTAACTGCCCATCGAGTTTCTCTCCTGAAACTGCCATAAGCCTCATTCTAAAAGGTATCAACATGTACCATGAACCAAATAAATTAATCCTCAGTCATACTGAGTATCCTCGATATAATTAATCAACACTCTCTGACCATCTCGAGTAAGCATTACTATAACGAACACGTTTCACTCTGTGGACAAATCTGAAGATACACACTAAGGTTCTAACTGTTGAGGTAACATTACAGAAAACCTTGATTAACGGAAGCTTAACCTGTGACCTTGAAGCACTGACTTCCTTCCCCCAATTTTATATCATCCCTTACCAAAAGATAAAGTTATAGTTATGACTGCCTCATAATTGAATGGGATATCAACATAGACAGCATGTCAAATTAACTGGCAAGCATGCTACTGAAATTGCAAAAATGGTAAGAAAACTTGACAGTATATCAAAGTTGACATCTCAAACAGAGGGGAGAGAATGGGCTATTTAATAAATGACGCTAGGAAGACTACATAGCCATTTGGAAAAAATCAAACGAGATCCATACTTCACACAGTACACCAGGATAAATATGAAAATGATGGAAGGTTTAATGGAAAATAAGAAAGTACACGAAGAAAAGATAGAATTCTTTAATAGCCCTGGAGTGGCGGAGAGCCTTCTAACAATTAAAAGCTCTAAAAATCCAAAAGCTATAAAAAAAATCAAGAAATTTGACTCTGTAAACCAATAAGCAAGCCTCCTAACACAGTAAAACACACTACAAGCAAAGTAAAAAGACTCATAGGTGAAAGTGTAATCTTAATATATGAAGAGCTCCTAGAAATCCATGAGAAAAATAACAGCCCAATAGAAAAACAGGCCAAGGATATGAATAGTCAGTTTGCTAAAAAGAAAACACAAATGGCCCCTTAACAAAGGGAAAAGGCTAAGTCTTAATCAGAGAAAGAGAAATGTAATTTAAAAGACACTGATATATCATTGTTCACCTATCAGATTGGCAAAAATCCAAAAAATTGACAGGGTACTCTGTTGTTCAAGCTGTAAGGGAACAGGCACTTTTAAATATTCTGGAGGGAGTATAAACTGGTAGAAACCCTATGGAAGGCAATAAGACATAGGTATCAAAATTACAATCACATATACCCTCTGATCACTTTTGGGAATTTATCCTATAGATATTCTTGCACACAGGCATAATGACAAGGGTATAAAGTTATTCACTGCAATATTATTTATGATAGTAAAGTAAAGAAAAGAACCTCAAATCCACATACACGATGGGTCATCATACTGCTGCTAAAAGAACAATGAAACTCCACGTACTGAAATGGAAAGCTTTCAACATACGTTGTTATATGAAAAAACCCAAAGAGGAACATATAAATCTTGAGACTGACACACTGCCGGCTGCAGTAAGAGGGCAGCTTAGGAATCTATGAATTAAACGATTTGGGGGGGTAAAAAGGATAAAAGTTAAGAATTACATGTGAATTCGACTGTATTTAAGAAACACTGGAAGGATACCCCGAAAGCTATAAACATGTTACTTTACAAAGGCAAAGGGAAAGGAACACAGGAGCTTGGTAGACGTGCGACAGAGGAGTGATACTCCCTACTGAATACCTTTTTATGTTTTTGTATTTTGGAACCATGTGATTATAAATTAGGAAGAAGAAAACATGAAAAGTTGAGCCGTAAGGGTGAAATGTGATTGGGACCTCACGTATCCAAACTATGGTTTCATCATAGGGATCCTCTCTCAAAATGCTTTAAGATCAGAGCTGGTGGGATATTAGTGCATAAAACTTACAAACTGAATAAAGGATGGCTTTCTCCCTGTAGAAAGAGAACTAAATGGCATATTATTCAAGTTCAAAGGAAAGCTGAAAGCCTGGTCATAGGTGCAACTATGACACCTGGTGGAACTCACTGAGGAGAAAGCCTACTATTGAAGACTGGATTTTTAATAGTTGATGACTTAGGTCACCAGAGTACAGTGAAAGCTGCCCACTCCCAGCATTTACAATGAAATGCATTCAGAGAGATGTGTACACATAACTAAAATAATCACAAATTTTAGGATGGAGGAATCTAACTATGGGAACAATTCTGAAGATACCTGTAACAAAGAAGAATGCCAACAGAATCACCCGGAAAGGATCTCCTAAATTCAAACTTAAACGTGCTCATATTTTAAGAGGTCCAGCTCATACAAAACTATACCCCCCAAAGAGTACTTCTATTAAGTATTTAGATATGTGAAGTGTTTCTGAAAGCATAGACTATACTAGTCTTTGATTTTCATTTACTCTAATGAAAAATAACAAGTGCTAACACATAAAAAGTGTTAATGACCATTACATGTCAGGCATGTATTAAGTGCTTTATATATTAGTATTAATATATACATATTTACACATTAATATGTATATATTAACTTCCATATCAAGGAAGGTAATATTACCGCCATTTTCTAGGTGAGGAAATTGAGACATTTACTCTTTCACCTAGCACTCCCACTTCCAGGAATACACCTTGAAGGCACACCATCACAAACATGCAACATATGCCAAAATGCCCATCAGTACATCCATTAGCTAGGAAGTCAGACATTAGGAATTTATCACAGTTATAGATAATTTAAGTAGAAAAACCATCCGATCATTAGGGTTTTTGTCTGTTTAATTCCCTAGTGTATTTCCAGTGCCTAGAGCAGTGACTGGCACAGACGAGGCACACAATAATATTTGTTACAGGAGTGAAAACATAGCTATATGCTAAAAATATACCTGACACAATTCAATATCCATTTTTTAGTAAAAACAATACACTGGAAAAGATAGATAATTCAACAACATGGTTTAAAAAAAAATCTAACCCTAGTTTTCACTGTATACACATTTATACCTTTTGAATTTCATCATACCATCTGAATATATTAATTTTTTGAAGGTACTATAAAGTTAACATGAATAACACAGTCTATTTTATGTTGGGCTGTTGTGTCTCTTTGTACCTCAGGCAATATATTCAATTACCAAGAAGTAAAGTGTCTTCATTTTACTGAAAAGGGGACTAAGGATCAGGGAAGTTAAAGACACTTGCCTAATGACACACAGCTAGTAAATGACAGAGCTAGTGGTTAAAGTTACGTCCTAGGCACTACTCTGCATGTAAGTGTTATTTTCTTCAGAGCTCTGTTCTGGGCCCTCTTCTCGTTATATTTATTCCCGCTGGGTAGACTCAGATACCTAGAGCATTAACTGTAGCTCACATTAATGACTTCTCAAGCACAGACATCTCTTCAACTGCCTGTTGCCACAGATACACTCAGTATCACAAAACTTAACCTTCTCTTTGAAATCTGCTTTCGGGGCTTCCCCGGCGGCGCAGTGGTTAAGAATCCACCCGCCAATGCAGGGGACACAGGTTCGATCCTTGGTCCGGGAAGATCCCACATGCCACGGAGCAACTGCGCCCATGCACCACAACTACTGAGCCTGCGCTCTAGAGCCCGCGTGCGGCAACTACTGAGCCCACGTGCCGCAACTACTGAACCCACGTGCCTCGAGCCCGTGCTCTGCAACAACAGAAGCCACCGCAACGAGAAGCCCGCGCACTGCAACCAAGAGTAGCCCCCACTCGCTGCAACTAGAGAAAAGCCCACGCCCAGCGACGAAGACCCAATGCAGCCAAAAATAAATAAATAAATAAATAAATCTGCTTTCTTTCCCTTGTTTCCTCTTCATTTACTTGGTCAAGCAAGGAAGAAACCAAGGAGGCATCTCAGACTGCTTCCAACTGGTAGACAAGTCTTCCGGATGGTGTCTAGTTCCCGACAGCTCTGCTCTCCATGCCCTATCCCTTCTTCGGTCCGGTGAATCACTTCTTGTTCATACTGCCGAAGGCTCTTTCCCCGGCACCCACGTAATCGATGGCAAGAATCAAGAAAGGCCACTGGGACACTGCATGCTCCTGGCAAGACTCTCATGCCACTGCCCTCCCCAACTTTCATAGCTTCACCAGCACAATATGCTTGGGGGTCGTGAGGACAAATACCTTGATGTCTTCATCCCTGACTGTGTCACTCACAAGAAGCATCAGAGACCATCCCTCGTTGACCAGATTCTCTCCCTGTATGGCTCTGCTGGCTTCACTTCTCCAACACCCAACCTTTCTACTATGCCCTGTGGACTCACAGTCCATCTTTGGCAAAATCTCCTGTGCCCTCAGCCTCTTCTGTGAATATACCCACTATCTTCCTGCCCTAATGAATCTTGGTTCCCCCTTGAGAACACTGCTTCCCTCGACAGCCCTCTCAACTGGGAGCCATTTTCTCTCATAAACCTCCTCCCCATCTACATTGCCCTCCTAAATCATCTCCTCCCGAACTCTTCTGTGGACTCCAGAAGCTTTCTCAACATCTCCACTTGGGTGCTCAGAAGTCAGCACAACCTTAAAAGTGCCCCAAACCGGAGTCTGGAATTCCTCCCCAAACCGACTTCTCCCATTCTTCCCCATCTCAAGTTTAGGCAACTCCACTCTCCCAGCTGCACAGCCAACCAGCGCGGGCATAAGCCCGACTGTCCTCATTCTCTGATAACCCCGTACGTGCTTCCTCAGAAATCCCCTCCGCTGCCTTCAAAGCTCTACTCAGAATCTAACCGCATCTTTCCACCTCCAATGACCATCTCTCCTGGACTCCTGCCATGCTCTTCGAAACATCCTGCTTCCAACTTTGCCTCCCCGCAGCCAACTCTCTCCAGCAACCAGGCTGATGCAGCTACTTCAGATCATGGCACTGCTCTGTTCCAAACCCTGCTAAGGCTTCCAATTGCCCCTCAGCACAGGCCAAATCCTCAGAGTGGTTCCTAAGGCTCGGCATGACCTGGGGACCTTGCTACCTCCCAAAATCATCTCTGGCCACTCTCCTACCATTAGCCTCTTGCTGCCCCTTTATGCGGTAAACATACTCCTGTCTCAGGGCCTTTGCACTTACTGTTCCCACTGCCTAGAACACTCTTATCCCAGACAACCATATGGCTCATTTCACATCTTTCCATTTTCTGTTCAACTGCATTCTTATCAACAAAGCCCTTCCTGATCACCTTACATGACAAAGTAAGCTCCCCGTACTGCCTACCCTGTCACTCCAAATCCCACTCGCCCAGATTTTTCCCCAAAGCGTTCTCTGCCACCTAAAAAACTATATATTTTTTTATGGTATGTCTCCAGCCACAGTTTCTACAAACAGAAACTCTACGAGGGCAAGAATTTCTTTTTATTTGTTCACTGCTTTATCCTCAGTGTCTAGAACACAACATAGCTCATTAAAAAGAAGAAAAAAGCACTCAATAAATATTTGTTGAGTTGAATGAAGAAAGGAAAAGAAAAGGGGAGAGAAGAAGGGAGGATGACAGGATGGCTGATCTTCAAACCCCCAAATATACCTAAGTGCAGAATCAGTGGCATGGGCTGCTGTTGTAGTAATGACTGGAGACTGAGCTCTGGTGGCCGACACAGTTGCTACCACAGCAGGAGGGATGGTATTAGAGGTGGTCACAGGTGGACGAGACTACCAAGAGAAGAGAAAAACATATTTCATTGAAAGCAAGAGCAAAATACAGTATGCCCAAAACACGGCAAGTATAATTTGAAAACTGGGCCTCGAAATAAGGGTGTTTATGTCCAAATGAAAATAAATTCTCACCATTATGATTACCGAGTTCTCTTTTCAGATAGGTTGTTAGAAGGCCAAGAGCCAGAATTATCCCAAAAAATCCAATGCTGGTTGGAGAGTACACAAGCCCCTCCTTTTCCAATATGACCAGACTCAAAATTCTGTCCTACGATTAGTACAGACTGGAATCTAGCCCTTCAGCTCTAGTTCCCACAGAGCTGTCGCTGGTCCTGGAGCAGACACTTTTCATGACGACACAACCTAGGGCTTTCCACAGAGGGCCTACTCAGAACTGGATGCTGGCTCTCATGCCATCTGAGGGCAAAAAAGGCAAACACGTGGTGATAGCATTCTTTACCAGCGGAAGGTGCAGGGTGCCCAGATGCTTTCTAGATGTTTCCATATGGATATGCTTCCCTTACCCCTACATCTGTGTGTAAAATCTTCACCTGACTAACGAGTTCCACACTGGGCTTCACCCGCTTGCCCACTGTCAGATTCTCCAGTCATCTGAGCTCGCCTGAGTAGTCCTTCTGTCCTGCTCCTGCCACGTGCAGGTTAACTCAGCAAACTCTGCCCATTCTTGATCTGTTTCTCACCTGCAGACCTCGTCCCCATGGCGCTGCTCTCACAGCCTGTCCTCTCACACTAGGACTGCTGTGCTGTCTTCCTCACTACTGAGCTCTTGACCTTGGTTCTCCTCTTTCTCCAACCCTTCCTACCATTATACTCCTGGGGCCCTAATCAGTCTCCAAATGTGTTTTATTACCAGCAAGGTCTTTTATTTTGTTTAATGTGAAAGCTCTAGGCTAGACATATCTTACCCCGCGTCCCAGTCAGCACTCTTCTGTAGTATCTTAAACCCAGCTATTTCATACATGCTACCAGTCTGGCCCCAAAGGCACTGAACTTCTACCTTCTGTACGCAATTCAGCTAGATAAATCTCTCAAAGATATTTCTTTGACCACATATCAGTATATTCCAAAGACGCAGTAGCTCTCTGCTGTGTACAATATCAAGTTTACAGTCTTCACCTTAGAGCCCCGAATTTAGAGACAGACACGGTATCACGCAGTAACACGTTATACTTCAGTAGTACTGAGGCCACAGGTTTCCTTGAAAAAAGTTGAAAGGCATGGACCGTCTTCCTTAAAAAGCATACATATGTGCATAAAAATGTGCATAAAATGTTTAGGGGTTCACACACCCCTAACCAAATTAGAATCCCTCAGTTCTAACTAGTCTTTACTCCACATTGTGTACAACCACCACTATCTTCCTTGCCTTGTTCACAGTGCTGCCCCCCTTCACGCCTCTGAATCCCCACTGCCACACCCATCCCAACCAAAAGCCTTCCCTTACTACCTCTCTCCTAAATTCCTACAGCGGATCACATGACACTGTATGTAATTCAGCCTTCTCTACATCTTGGCAGCTAGATCCAAAGTCGCTTGGGGTTCAAGGACTCGCACAGTGCCAAGCAGAGCGAATAACTCAGAGTAGGCGCTTAACGCTTGCTGGCTGACTACCCACAACCCTGGCGTGCCTGGATTGGCTGGTGAATGATGTGCTGTACTGCCGGCTGAGCTGCAGCAGCATTTGGCAGCTGGGAAGTCGGCCTCAGGACCGTGGTTACTTTAGAACTGGACATCACAGCAGCAGCTGCTGCACCTGGAAAAACAGTATTTTTTTCATTAGTATGGCTTCCGGGCCCATGATTTAAATAGCTACAATTACATTCCCTATAAGCTCAGTGTGTCAGTATTCAGCTTAAGTGCTTTATGTATACTTCCCGTTTCATCATACAGAAAATTAGGAGAACGTGCGCCCAAGGGCTGAGATTTCATAAGATCGATAATCTGTATTGCTTCTTCAAGGGTGTTCTTAAATGAAACTGGCTATTTTTTTTTTTTTTTAAACTGCAAGTATGTAGCATTGAAGCACAGCACGGTGCTGTTAGTACCCTGATTCAAGCCAAGGCTGCAGCAGTTTAACCACCAGTGAGAGTTCACTTGAACCACCACTGCCTTTGTACCATCAGTGCCAATATCAGCACTGACAAAAGGGCACACGTCTTAGTTTCGACCTCACACAGATCCCCCTGCAGTCTGTGAACCTCACTGAGAACAACCACCAAGTTACATTGAGAGAGAGTACTTGTTAGCCTGATTCTGCCGACAATAATTTTATCCTCTCCAGTAGAAGGTAACAATTTCTGATCAAGTAACTGAAAAAACTCATTAAACTTAATACCTTACAACCTATCAGCACTTAATTGTAAGAATAAATTCATCTTATTGCCATGTGAATAAAAAGATTTGACTAAGCATTTTCACTAAACTTCAAAAATACTCAGTATTAACATTTGTGACTTATTTATTGAAAATGAAGCCCATATTTACACGACCACAGTTTTCAGGAGTTCCTCAGTATAAAGGCCAATTTTTAGACCATACAGAAAATTTGAATTGCTCTGAGTTTACACACATACACATATGTGTTGCAATACAACTATAACAAGCACCTATTAGGCCACGCTAAAAATGTGCATTAATCTAAGTTTATTTCTGCTGTCCTGCAACTCTAAAAAGCTCATTCTGGATACGCTTTGTGTTACTGTATCTTCTACCAAACGTGTACCTGTCACTGCATTTCAGGAGTCTGAAGAAAACACGCAGCCTTTATTTACCTCGAGGTAAATGAGAAGCTCCAATGTGAAGAGGGGGCCCAGGTGCGTTGCTGCGGATGATAGACATCTGTACGTTTGTGGTCATGATGTGATGCAGGTTACTGGGATGCCCCTGCAAGAAACAGGATGCAACGTTATTTCCAAGTGCCTGGTCTTAGCCACGGGTGCTTAGCCATTGCTTCTAGGAAGTCAGCTGCCTCCAAATGTGGGTCATGTTGTTCCTCTTAAGATAGTGAGCACCCCAAGGGAAAGGACATTTAGTTTCCTTTTCACAGCATACTGCACGATGCCCTGTGCCAGCAGGCATGTGGTAAGGGGCAGGGAGGACCCATCAACTGCCTTGAATCTAGCTAGCTGTTAGATTCCTATCACTGATGACACATCTGACTGTCCACTTTCAGACACTCTCATCTTCAATAGTAGTCTTTTACCCTTGTTTTCTTTGTCTTGGCCTATAGCTTATTTTTTCTTATTATCACTATTTCCTTTACACGCCACTGCACTCACGTATGCTGTATGCTAGCCAGGATCTCTAAGTAAATTCAGTCAGCGTCCAACGGGCACTCGCCCATCAGTTCTGCAGCTCACCCCTACCTGTCCCTTCCTCACACCTGCCCGATCCTGATGCCAGTGCTTCTCAGGTGGGCATTCCAGCACTTCTGGGAGGACTCAGCAATATGACAAAATGAAAAACACCACAGTGCACCTTTTTGGAATACCATTTTTCTCCTGAAAACTTGAAGGGAGTGAGTTGTGAGATTCAGTTTTCACTGGTAAGTAATTTAAAATATTTAAATAATACATATTATGGAGGAGGACTGCAATTTCAAAAAAAAAAATTAAGTTAAAACATGAGACTTTAAAATAAAGGTTCACAACTGGTAGGCTGCTGAGGGAACCCGCCAGTCGCCCAAGAGACACACATCACCGTCCTCAGAGAACAGCCTTAGAGAAGCACTGCTGCTGTGAGGCTGTCCTCAGCCCACTGGAGTTCTGCGCCTGTAACCAAGCACAGCCGGACTCCTGTGCTCCTCAAGGTCACGGGCTGTCTTATCTAGATCTGCTTCTCGCACTGCAGGGGGTGCCTCGTACACAGCAGATACCCACTACGTACGGGCCGAATGACAAGACCACTGTGCATACTGGTCTCACTCCCGAGGCCATCCTTCTCTGTCCACTCTCCTCTTGTCCCCTTGCAGATACCGGTGACCAGTTAATTTTTGATTTAGTCCAGTGCCTAATGTACTGCTGGCATTCAGTAAATAATGATCAACAGTTTGGCATCTCAGTTTGAAAATCAGCAAATTAAGAGGAAAAAAACCTGTTGTCCACTGATTGTTGCCACAGGAATGGCTGCAGCTTGAGGGATGCTACTCTCCATGGTAACGGTAACCTGCCCTGGAAGCTTGGGGGGAAGTGACAAGGTGGAAGGTGGAGCAGGAGCAATGGGACGGCTAGGCACGGTGGGCTTCGGGGGCGGCTGCGAACAGAAAACCACACGACACAGATCAACAGCGTTTCCAGCGATGCCCTTCATTCCACACACGCGCACAAATCAAACCTGGAGAGCGCCAGGAAGGATGCCCGAAGCCTCACATGTTCTATCTCTTAGCATCACAGCCTCTCCATTGAGGTGCTAGCATTGCCATGTTACAGATGTGGAAACATACAAAGCAAGGCTAAGTCCCTTGCTTAAAGCCACACAGACAGTAAAAACTAGAACTGGGAATAAAGCCCAGATCTGTATGGCTCACAGCCCACATTCTTTCTTCTATACCGTGCCGCCTCCCAAGTTTGGCTGGAAGTAAACAAAACTCCCAGTAACTGACACATATCCATATGGTTAATACACAAGGCGATATTCTGATACACCCAAATTAGCAAGCTATCAAAACAAAACCTTGGAGAAGAGTGCCACTCCAAGATAAAAGCTACACTAGCACGCCCATAACTTGAAATAAAATCAACGTCAAAATGGGTACGAGAAAAGATCCTGTGATGCCAACTGCCCAGCGGCACGAGACTAGGCACTGCAGAACAGCGCAACTCTGAGTTACAGAGAGGAGCTGAACTGATAGGTCAAAAAGAAAAAGCTATGATCCTAGGATACAGCCTAAGACTCTGTGAGCACTGTCAGAAATACTAGCCAGTCTTTAGCTGCCGTTCAATGTGAAATTTTAAACCTCTCCATTACCTTCATAAGTCCCTCCGAAAATGAGAGTGGCACTGCTGGCGTCAGATGTGCTGGCGGGGCTGTCACTGTGACAGGTGTGCCCGATGCAACAGCATGGTGTGTAGACAACATCTGCACCTGTGGATAGGGCCTTACCACAACAGGCTCTTGCTTCTCTTCACGGGACTGTAGGGAGCTGCTGGAACCCACGTGCTCCCTGGCAGTGACTTCAGCATCTCGACTAGATTCATCGTTGACTAGTGAAGACATGAAGGGTGAAACAGCGTGTCATGCCCTTCCAATATCAAATAACATAACAGCACATGTAAGAGTGGCGCTTGCAGTTAAGTTGCAGGGTTGATAAACTGACCGTTTCCTTCTGAGATTTTCTTAACAAGGAAAACTTGGGCATCAAATTCCCCTGATGGAGAGCAAACTCGAAAGTCACACCTATGGAACACGGGACTTGTTTTAAAGATTGTAATTTCCTACTCCTATGAACAAAGGGCCTGAAAACTATCTAGAATGACCTCAAATACTTGAAATTGTAATATAAGATATAAGACAATTTCATTTAAAATATTTATTTAAAAAGTTATAAAAACCTAATATTAAAAAGGTGACTTGGGGACTTCCCAGGCGGTCCAGTGGGTCAGAATCCATGCTTCCACTGCAGGGGGCACGGGTCTGGCCCCTGGTAGGGGAGCTAAGGTCCTGCATGCTGTGTGGTGCGCCCCCCCCCCAAAAAAGGTAACCAATTTCTCAGTCCAAATCCCTACAGAGTGAACAAGTAAAGCTCTATCATTATTACAATGCATGCACCCTTTGAGACTCAACAATTCCACTTGCATGACTGTACCCTATAGATACACAGCATGTGTGTAAAATGACTCAGGTACAAGTTATCTGTTTCAGTATTTTTATACTAGCAAAGGAACCGAAAAACCTACACGTCCATCAATAGGGGACTCGTTATATAAATTATGGTATACTCACACAACAGACTACCATGCAACTATAAAAATAAAACAAGAAAGCTTTTTAGGTACTCTTACGGGAAAATGTATTATATATATATATATATATATATATATATAGTGAAAAAGATATATGAAAATACCAAAGTACAGAACAGAGAAAAAGTAAATAAAATACACACAAATATAAATACATTTGTATTTGAATATGGATAACGTATCTCCAAAGCATCTTGGTTGCCTGAAAGGAAAGAAAGTGGATGAGTGGGGGACAGGAAGGAGAGATATTTTTCAGTGTATATTCTTTTTTCTTTTGGAATTTTGGACCATGAGAACACGTAACGTATTTAAAAATTAAGTTAAAAAAATCAAGGAACTGGGACTTCCCTGGTGGCGCGGTGGTTAAGAATCCACCTGCCAATGCTGGGAACACGGGTTCGATCCCTGGTCCGGGAAGATCCCACATGCCACGGAGCAACTAAGCCCGTGCGCCACAACTACTGAGCCTGCGCTCTAGAGCCCATACGCCTAGGGCCCATGCTCCGCAACAAGAGAAGCCACCGCAATGAGAAGCCTGCACACTGCAACGAAGAGTAGCCCCCACTCGCCACAACTAGAGAAAGCCCGCATGCAGCAACAAAGACCCAACGCAGCCAAAAATAAATAAAACTAAAAATAAATTTAAAAATGCTGTGAATTCAGAACAATGATTAAAAAATTTATTAAAAATCAAGGAACTAATGTAATGAAAGAGGAGAGTCTGTGAAAATATTAATTTGCACTATCATTTTCCCAAAACAACACTGACATTATTTTTCTGAACATAAAGATTATACTTACATAAAAAATTTTAATTACTTGGAAAACTATAAAGAAGGTAAAGCTGCTCCCAAAGTCTATCCCCTAAAGGCACCAAGTTACTATTTTGGTAAAACGTCAGACACTTCTCAGCTCTTTAATCTTAGGTGGGTTTTTATTTACTTAACTTTTTATTTAACTATAACCTTCATAAAGACAAATGTATAGCTCAATGAACTTTTACAAACGGAACACACCCGAGTTACCAGCCCCGAGATCAACAAGCAGAATGCTACCGCTTCCCCATAAACCCTCTGTTCAGCCTGATTCCAGTCACTGTACCTCCCAATGATACTCACTATGCTAACTTCTAAAACTATAGGTTACTGTTGTCTATTTTTGAACTTATATAAATATACTCATAACAAATGTACCTGGTTCTTGTCTCTCTCACTTATAGGTATAAGATTTGTGCATATTACTGCATGTAGCCATAGCTCCTTCATTCTCAGTACAGTATGCCATTGCTTGAATAAATCACAAATTACCCATTTTACTCCCAGTTAGTTTTCAGGTTTTTTGGTTTTTTTTTTACTATTATGAATAGGAATGCTAGTAATTATTCATGTGTATGACTTTTGGTGAACATTTCCATTGCTATTGGATTCCACCTTAGAGTGGAATCGCTAAGTAATATAGAATATACACTGCATCATTTCAAAAGTGCTAAATGAAATTCTATTGAATAGATGTACTATACCTTTTTAAACCATTATATCATCGATGAGCTTTTAGGCTATTTCCAAATTTTTGCTATTGTCAACAACTCTAGAATAAATATCCATATGTACTCTGAGTCCTTGTTCAATGATCTCAGGAAAAAAAATCAGAAATTTTCTCTTGCAGGAAAAAAGTGCTGGGAGAAAAGATTAATATATTTTATATTCTGCTATACATTGACCCTTCTCCTAGGTCATTCAGATTTTTAAAAATTTTGATTTTTAAAACCGCTTTATTGAGGTATAACTTGCATACAATAAAATGGCTATTCTAAAGAGAGTTCAATGATTTTTTTTTTTTACATTCTCACCAACAAGTTAGGAGCAGAATGGCTGGGTCAAATGGTAAACTTCATATGAAACTGCCGAAGTACTTTCCAAAGTGGTTGTATTATCTCATGTTCCCACCGGCAGTGTATTAGCGGTCCAGTTGTTCCTCATCCTCACGGATTCTTGACACACCGACATTCTAGTGGGTGTGTACTGGGTATCTCATTGTGGTTTTAATTAACATTTCCATGCTGACTGGTAATGTTGAACTTCTTTTTATGTGACCAAAGGCCATTCATATACATCTTCCTTTGTGAAGTATATGTTCGTATCTCGTCCATTTTTTAATCAATCAGGTTTATTAACTGAGGTACAATTTACATATAAAATCTACTAATTTTTTGTATAAAACTAAATTTTCACAAATGTATTCAGTACTGTTATCACAACACAATCATGACATAGAACATTTCCCTTACTCTAACAAGTTCATTCATGCCCCTTTGCAGACAATTCCCTCCCTCCCACCCCTACTCCTTAGAAACCACTGATCTATTGATGGTTCTATCACCACTGCTTTGTCTTTTCTGGAATTTCATAGAAATAGAACCACACAGTATGTGGTCCTTTGGGTCTGGCTTCTTTCTCTCAGTAAAATGCTTTTGACGTTCATCCACGTTACTGTTTATAACGCTAGTCTGCTTCTTTTTACCACTGAGTAGTATTCCACTGTATGGATTAAACCAAACTTTGCTTATCCAGTCACCAGTTGATAAAATCTGGGTTCTTTCCAGGGTTTGGCTATTATGAATAATGCTTCTATGAACATTGAAGGAGAAGTCACTGTATGTGTGACACATATTTTCATTTATCTTGGGTAAACACCTAGGAATGAGACTGCTGGGTTGTATGGTAAGCTTACGTTAAATTTTTTAACATACTGTGCCAAACTGCTTACCAAAGTGGCTGGATTACTTTGCATTCCCACCAATGCACGGGTTCTGCTTGCTCGAGAAACACGTCAAAACTCGGTATTGTCACTCTTTTTGTTTTAGTCATTCTAGTGGGTGTATAGTAGTTTCTCACTGTGGTTTTAATTTGCATTGCCCTGAGGAGTTAATACAGTTGAATATCTTTTGTGTTTATCTGGCCTTTATATAGCATCTTTGGTAAAGTGTCTATTCACATATTTCATCCCTTAAAAACAAACAAACTAACAACAAAAAAAACACAAGCTGTTTGCCTTTTTTGCTATTGAGTTACAAGTTTTTTATATATTCCAGATGTAAGTCTTTTGCTGACACATTTATCACAAATGTCTTCTCTCATTTGGTAGCTTGCCTTTTTATTTTACTAACAGTGTCTTTTGCAGAGCAGTCATTTTTAATGTTGATGAAGTACAGTGTATTAGTTGCCTCCTTTATAATCAATGTTTTTCGTGCCCTAAGCAATTTTTACTTACTCTAAGGTAACAAACAGTTTCTCCTATATTTTCTTTTAGAAATTTTAAGTTTTATACTTAGGTCCATAATTATACATTTCGAGTTAATTTATGTGCACAGTGGAAGTAAAGGCCAAGCTTTATTTTTTTTCGTATGGATATTCTGGTGTTCTGGCACTATTTTGTTAAAAAGACTATCATTCCCCTATTGAATTATCTATGTACTTTTATCAAAAATCAATTGACCATTATGTGTGGGTCTATTTCTGGATCCTCTAGTTTGTACCAATGATCCAGTGATTTATGCTAATATCACATTGTCTTGAGTAGTGCAGCTTTATACCAAGTCTTGAAGTAAGGCAGTGGAGTACCCCAACTTTCTTCTTTTTTGTCTAAATTGCTTTGGCTATTCTAGGTCCTTTGGTTTTCACATAAATTTTAGATTTAATTTTAGATTCAATTTTTAGAAAAGTACCTGATGTGAATTTGATTAGGATTCATTTGAATCTACAGATCCCTTTTAGGTAAAGGAAAATACTGAGTTTTCCAATCCATGAACATGATAGATCTTTTCATTTATCTAGGTCTTTAACTTCTCTCAGCAATGTTTTACATCATTTTCTAACCCCGGGTCATACACATATTTTGTTAACTTATTCCTAAGTATTTAATGGTTTTTTTTTTAAATGATACTGTAAATGACATTTTTAAAATTTCACTATTCATTACTAGTATTTAGAAATATAATTGATTTCTGTACACTGAACTTTTATCCCACAACCTTTAGTAATTTCACTTATTAGTTCCAACAGCTTTTAAAAAACATTTAGTATTTTCTGTATACGTGATGCTTGTGAATAGAGTTTTACTTCTGTCTTTCCATTATCAACTGATTTTTAACCTTCCCCACTGCCCAGATTTTCCCCTAATTAAAATTTTAAAGGAAATGGACAACTTCATAACTTTCCTCCAAACCTATCTGTCCAGGAAGACTTTGATTTTTGACACTTTCATTTAAGATATAATGCACTGACCATTTTCCACTAAGCTCTTTTTGCAACTATGTATCGTTTCCTTCTAGGTATTTGAAGTTGTTTATTTTTATCAGAAAAGAACCTTGAAGCAGTAGTTAAGAGAACGGTTGTAATCTATACTTCTGTACTGTGAACATGTACTTGAAATCCTGACATGCGTAGGATCCCAACTTACTTCTTCCAATAAGAGCACCAGGAAATATAGAAAAACATCTAACTACTTAAGGAAAACTTTTATTTTCTTTTTAAGAGCAACTGAAGGAAACAACATACACATTTCAGAAGTAAAATTATAGACAATTTGGGTCTAAGTCAATGATTTCCTTCTCAACAAAGTCTGAGGGCAATTATTGCCAATTGATACCCTTTTTAATGAGCAGTATAATTCTTGCAAATAGATGTTCAAAAATATTCTCTTTTGGGGTTTCCCTGGTGGCGCAGTGGTTGGGAGTCTGCCTGTCGATGCAGGGAACGCGGGTTCGTGCCCCGGTCTGGGAAGATCCCACATGCCGCGGAGCAACTAAGCCCGTGTGCCACAATGACTGAGCCTGCGCTCTAGAGCCCTCAAGCCACAACTACTGAGCCTGCGAGCCACAACTACTGAAGCTGATGCGCCTAGAGCCCATGCTCCGCAACAAGACAAGCCACTGCAGTGAGAAGCCCGTGCACCACAATGAAGAGTATCCCCCGCTCGACACAACCAGAGAAAGCCCGCGTGCAGCAACGAAGATCCAACGCAGCCAAAAATAAATAAATAAAATAAATTAATTAAAAATGGATTTCTATTAAAAAAAATTCTCTTTAGCTATGCTCCTTTAAATTATTCTGTTGTGGGGATTCCCTGGCACTCCAGTGGTTAGGACTTGGCGCTTTCACTGCTGTGTCCTGGGTTCAATCCCTGGTCAGGGAACTAAGATCCCGCAAGCCATGCACCTTGGCCAAAAAAAAAAAAAAAAAATTCCGCTGTGAATTCATACAAAAGATAAAACACTGTCAAAAATCTTTGTTAAGGGGTCAGGAACTTGAAGTGGCGCTATAAGAATTTGTTAACCTCTACCCTGTAGCAAGGATAGCATATACAAAGAAGCATGGACAGATAGGTCCTGGCCTTCATTCTAGGAGGAGGCCCGACCTTGTGTTGCTGTGGATGATGGAGTCAGTAAAGACTTCCCAGAGAAAGTGACATCTGAGAGGAAACCTCAAGGAAGAACAAAGAATTAGCCAGATAAATAAGTGTGCAAAGGAAGAAGAAAGACTGTGGCAAATAAACAAAACAAAACTGGACTGTGTAAAGTCCCAAGGTCAAGAAGGCTGAGAACTTATCATCTGTTCAGAAAATATGAGCAGCCACTATTAAGGAGGAGGAATAAAGTAGCTTAAAGTTACTTTAAGTCTAAAGAGAACTAAAATAAATTTGTAACAAAAACTAAGTTGGCAGGAAGGAGGCGAAGCAATAGGAAGGAGGCCACAGCTCACAGGTGAGAGACAAAGACAGAACAATTAAACACCATGCCTGAGTTTCTGGTTTGAGCAATAAGTAGATGGTAAGTACCATTTACCATGATGAGGAACATAGAAATCAGGCTGTAAAGAAAGAGGAATAAAAAAAGGAGTACCTTACTTCACTTCGCAATGCCACCTTTCCACTTGATACACAGAATACAGAATTATTTGAAGGAGTAACTCAACTTCAGCACTGCTGACTGGACTAGATACTTTGCTGTGGGGTTGGAGGCTGTCCTGCTTAACGTCGTGTATTTAGCAGCAACCCGGGCCTCTAAATATCCGATGCCAAGAGCACCCCCTACTTGTGACACCTAAAAGTGTACCGAGACATCGCCAAATATTCCCTGGGGGGCAAAATCATCACCAGCTGAGGCCACTGATCTTCAGCATTCAAAGAGTACACAACTAAAAACCAAGTTGCATATATGTGCGTATACACATCTTTTTAAAATCTCTTTTCCTATACAGTAAGCTCCTGAAAGGCAAGACCTACGCCTTACACACCTTTGCATCCCTCATGGCATTATTATTACACCTCTGGGCCTTAATTAAATAAGAACACATTAATACATTAAAAAAAATGTTCTTGTAGGCGTGCTTCACTGTAAGTTTCATGTACACTCTGTACATGTGAATCAAGTGGTTAAAACAGGAAGAAAGAAAGCCCTATTTAAATTAGAACTGTAATATATCCATTTTTCAAATTTGATAACCTAGTATTTACTAAAATCCCACAAAGAATTTGCTAATTTTTAAATTAGAAAACTGGCAATATTTTTAAAGCAGGAAGCAATATAGAAAAATATCACACATCTCACCTGTTGCAGCTGGGTTTATCAATCCTGCAGAACCACTGTTGGCTATCTGTGAAGGAGCCTGGCTTAGCCCGGTGGAGGGGGTTCCTAACCGAGGAAACTGTTGAGAACTCATTTCCACCTGCAGTGCATAGGCATATGGTTATTACTGGATTCTGATATTAGAATCAATGAGAAAGTAAAGCATTTTTAGTACCTACATCTTCCCTTAGAAAAGCAAATGTAGCATCATCTATCTAAAATGATACTTGTGTTCAATATACAGTGCAGAAATGGTGTAAACTGTTTAAGCTTTTGATGTACATAGGTTCAATTAATGGTAAAATCGTTTATGTGGTGCTGGGGGATATTATGACACCGCCCCCCAATACCTGTGGATTGCCACAAAAGTCGGCACTGCATTGTGTATAACATCCACGTGACAGATCTTAACACAATATATATAATTCTGTGTAAAGTTTCAAGACAAATGGCATGTGCCTTTGAAAGACTTAAGCCTCACGCCAAGGTGAACAGAACTGTCATCAGTGTGTCACAGGAGGAATCGGAGGCAGATGCCCTGTCCTAAGAAGGGATCAGAAACCTTCCATCAAGACCTGATCCGAAAGGAATTCCCAAACGCTTTCCTGCACAGGCCTCCATTGACGGATTTCTCCCCCGCCCCTTTCACAGAGCCCCACTGAGCCAAAGGGAACCGAGACCTTCACCACTTTCCCTAAAATCGACCCCCACTCCTCCTTCAGGAGCCGATATCCCCGATACGCCCGCAATCCTGCCCCCACCCTGAAGTCCCCCGCTGAGATCGGAGAACACAGGTCTCCAGACACTCCGGGTCTCTGAGACTCCATCCCTGGGGAGGGGGGCAGGCGTTCTGAGGAGCCCCGGGACCAGTGTGCCCTTTACCTGCCGCCGCCCGCCGCCCGCCCCTCCCGATTCCACATCGCCGGGCTGGGGGTGCCGCGGAGGACCCATCTCGGTGGCAGCGCTGGGCTCCGAGGTCGCGGGGACGACTCGTGTCGCAGCCCGCCTCGGGCCCGCCGCTGTCCAGCCCCGCCGGCCCCGCTCACCCCCGCTGCCCGGCTGCCGCTACGCTCCAGTCCTCTTCCCCCGAACCTGCCCCTACCTCCCCCGCCCGCCCATTGGCCCCACGCCGGGCGCGTCAGTCCGGGGCCCGCACCAATCCAACGCTGCCTGCGCGCTGAGATCCCGCCCCACCCTCCCGCCGACTGCCAGCCAATCAGGCGCGAGCCTCGCCGGAGCAGCCCAAACCTCTCGAGGCTGAGCCAATGGCAGAGGCAGACAAGCGCCGCAGGCGAAAGGGGCGGGGAGCTCGGAGGCCCCGCCTCGGTCAGGGTCTGAAAGCGGCGGGCGCAGGGCCCGGATGTGGAGAGTCACTTTAAACTGCTCCAGGAGCCAAACTCCCTGGGCCGCCCGCCCGCCCGCGCTCCCCCGGCCTCTCAGCTTCCCCGCCAAGGCCCACGCCCGCCACGCCCCCACGCCCGAATCAGCCCAGCCCTCCCGACGCCTCTCCCTTCCTTGCCACAGGACACCCGGCCTCTGCCGCCGGCCCAAAAGCCGTGCTCAGCTCGCGAAAGAGCTCAGGTTTGCGCCGCAGGAGACGAGGGACCGCTGCCCTTCCCCGGGGACGCGCAGCGGGAAGGACGCTGCAGCCCGGCTCGGCCGCCCCGCCCCCTCGTCTCCTCCCCTCTCCTCCCCTCCGCTCCCAGGCGCCCGTCCCGCCATTACCTGAGTGCTGCGCCGAGTGGCCGCCGCGCCGCCTCGAGCTCGCTCTCGTGCGCTCTCCGCCTGTGGAGCCGGCGTCCTCGGGCTCCCGGACCCGCCGCTGCCGCCGAGGCGCTAGCACTCTGCCCCCCACCCCTCAGCCCAGCGCCGCTGCTTCCGCCGCCGTAACGAGCCTCTGACCCATTGGCTGGGGTAGGCCCCGCCCTCCTCCGGAGAAGCCAGTCACCGCTCAGTGTGAGCGGAGAGCGGACGGGCCTGCCCCTCGGGGGCCGCTGAGGCCTCTGGGAAATGTAGTCCCAGGTGCCGAGAGGGCGGGCCTGGGCGGGGCGTCCGGGCGACCGGGCTGGGGCAACACACCCCTTTGCTGTGTCAAGTCGGTTCTGCATTTTCTCTTTGCCTAGTAAAAAGCTCATACCCTTTTGCCTCAGCTGACGCCACAAGGTTTCATTTTCCCGAGGGCGGTGCGGCGCGGGAAAAGGTAATGGAGGCCGACTGCAGCGGGCCGAAGGGGCTGCAGGCAGGGCCGAGGGCTTTCCTGACTGTTCTTGATGTCCCCACAGAGGCCACGGCCCGCAAAGCCTGAGCATCGTGGGGAGATCGGGTGGGCGGAACTGAAGCGACTCTGTCGGGTTTGCGCCCGGCGCGCCGCGTCGGGAGCTGCACACCGGGCCGGACCCGCTCGGGAGCCGAGCACCTTCGGGTTAAAGCTGGCTCGGAGAGGGGCCTTTGGCGCAGGACTCCGGCACGGTGCACCTGCTCGGTTTTTCCAGATTACGAAGAAGCTGAGGGAGGCGGTGGTGTTTTGTTGTTTTGTTTGGGGTGGAGGGATGGAGTTTACACAGCTGCAGTAGACTTAGCGAAAGCTGCCGGAGCAAAATCTGAATCTGACAATAGAGTTAATGTCCCCCTCCTCCCTTCCCAGATGGTAATTTAGATCTGGAGTTTTGTGTTAAGAAATAAATGGGGCTCACATCCCTTCTTCCTGTCGTGCACAGCTGTGTTCTTGCGAGGAAAAGAGTAGCTCTTGGCTACAAGAATGTCTCAAATACCTGCTCTCCTTCCTCAAGGCACTTTCCTTTCTCACACTCTTCCCTTCTCAAATTTCTCCTAAAAGTAACTGGTGTGATATACCTTAGCCTCCTCTCTCCTTAGGCAGTCCATTCTGCTTCTGCCACTCTTCTCAGACTGCTCCCCAAAGTTGCCAGTGACCTACTCACCTCACCCAATGGTCCTGGCTTAGTTCTCATCTTGTCTAGTTTACCAACAGTAATTCTTCCTTAAAATGTGCTTCCCTATGGGAAAAGAATCTGAAAAACAATAGATAATATATATCTATAACCGAAGCAATTTGCTGTACACCTGAAACTAACACAACATCGTAAATCGGCTATGCTCAGAAAAAAAAATTCTTCCCTTGGTCACCAGAACCACACTCTCTCCTGATTCTACTTCTGTCCCTATTAAGTTGCTTTCTACTACTTCTTTCTCACATCTACAGCACTCTCCAGCCCTCTCTCAATGCTCTACTATCTTTCTAACTAGTTTAATGCACTCTCACAGTTTCAAATACTGTTCTCGAAAATGACTCAATATTTTGTCTGCGTGGTGATAAAGATAACTCAAGGTAACTCTCTCTTGAACTGTATACCTACAGTCCCACAGATATGTCTTACAAGCCCCTGAGACTTAACATATCGTACATCTTCATTGATTTGCCTCACCTGTGTACTCCTCCCCCTTGTTTCTGGGCTTGGTTAATGGCATCACCATCTTCTCTGCCTTTGGTTTAATTCTTGTTGGTTTCCACTCTTCCATCTCCCAGGGTCACCCTATGGACCTCTGCACCTCCTTTCCAGTTGCTTCCGTAGCCTCGGCTCAACCTGTCATTAATTCCTGTCTGGCTTATACTAACACTGCCTCACTCAAATCTCTTCCTACCCTCAACCTGTCCTCCGCAGAGTTCTTTTTCTAAAGCATTCCTCTGAATCTGTTCTTTCCACCCATGATGTTCCAATGACTTCAAAATCTATTCCAAACCCGTAAACCCAGTTCAAAGGCCTTAATAATTCAGTCCCTCCTACCTCTCAAGTATGGTTGAGTACTCTCTCAACCATAGTTTCCACCAATTCTCCACACAGCTTGGCTTCCAGGGTTTTGCTCAAGCCTTGCCTTATATAGGCCTCACTCTCCAGCAGCTATGTAGCAGAGTGCTGCCATTTCTACAATGCCTAACTGCAAAGGAAATGATTTATCTTCTCCAAGAAGCCTTCCGTGAAATTCCTCTCCTTCCCCCCCGCCCTACAGGATACTTCCGTGGACACTTCTTCAGTCCCTCTATTATAGTACTAATCTATCTACGATGTATTCTTCCTGGATTAGGCGGAGAGAGAAATTATTCATCTTTATATCTCCCATCAACAGGAAGGATTCAATAAATGTTTGCTGGGTATAATCACAAACACATCCGTAGTACATGAATGAAATCCGAATTTTCCTTAGTTACTAGAGACAGTCTCTGCTTTATTCACTTATGTCTCTAGTCCCTCATGTAGTGGATACTTGAAGGAAAATAGATGCTTCACCTATGGTTGTGTTGCTAGGATTTAGGATTCCCATCCCCTGAGCTTGGCATGCTGAAGACAGCCTTCTTGTACCCCAACCAGGCTGAACCTTCCACACTTCTCAGGTCTTCAAGCCCCCCGCCAGTTGCGGGGGCTTATTAGTATATTGGGTTCTTGGAGATAGTGGGCACAGAAGAGAGTTTGGATGGATTGAACAAAGACACCATCAGGCATAACATCTGCTGGGTGGTTACCAAGAGAACAAATAACTACTGCCCTCTGCCAACAAAGAGAGTAAGTTCTCAATGCAAGTGTCCTGTGGTGGTCAGTCAAATGTCAGTGGATGGTCTGCAAGTGTTGGTGAAGCTCTGTTTGGTCTCTGCCGCTGAACCCAGATGGTTCTCAGCCTGAGCCTGGGTCGTCTAATGATACTGACTCTTTGGTTCCTCTAGGTTCAGATACTCCCCTTGGCCCAACTCCCCAGGCAGGGAAATATAGTTCCCTCCAGGTAACTCATCTGTAAAATGAAAGTACCGTTACTTATCTCAATCTTATTGTGTAGTTGTTAAAAGCTACACACGTAAAGGACGTGAAGCTTTTGAGCTCACTCACATTCATTGTTTTTATTACCTTCATCTGGTTTATTACCTAGGCCAAACTCAGACTCTGTCTCCTCCAGAGTGTGTATGGTGGACAGACTCTAGGATGACCCCTCATGGTCCCCCTCTTGGGGTTCATGACCTTGTGTAATCTCTTTCCTTTGAATGTGGCAGGATCTGTGACATTCTTCTAATCAGTAGAATATGGCAAAGGTGAGGAGATGTCACTTCCTTGACTGTATTATGTTATGTTTAGTTTTTAGCTAAATTTGAAACAATAGAGAAACATGATTTTGACACATTCAGGATATTTAACGAGCCAAGTTTTTTAAACTTGTTACAGCAAGTTTAAAAAGATAGTGATTGTCATACGACCCAGCAATCCCACTACTGGGCATATACCCTGAGAAAACCATAATTCAAAAAGAGTCATGAACCAAAATGTTGGTTGCAGCTCTATTTACAATAGCCAGGACATGGAAACAACCTAAATGTCCATCAACAGATGAACGGATAAAGAAGGTGTGGCACATATATACAATGGAATATTACTCAGCCATAAAAGGAAACGAAATTGAGTCATTTGTAGTGAGGTGGATGGACCTAGAGTCTGTCATACAGAGTGAAGTAAGTCAGAAAGAGGAAAACAAATACCATATGCTAACACATATATATGGAATCTAAAAAACAACAACAACAAAATGGTCATGAAGAACCTAGGGGCAAGATGGGAATAAAGACGCAGACCTACTAGAGAATAGACTTGAGGATATGGGGAGGGGGAAGGGTAAGCTAACCTGCCGACATTTTGATCTTGGACTTCCATTCTCCAGAACCGTGAGAAAATAAATTTCCACTGCTTAAGCCCTACAGTCTGTGATATTTTGTTATGGCAGCCCTAGCAAACTATGTACTGTACGTATACTACATATAGTAGAGTATTGTTTTGTGAAATTTTAGTTTCAGTTGTGTGTATGTGCACTGGGTCTCAATGCAAGATGCATTTCTTATTATGGGTTGTAGGTCAAAATGTTTGAGAAACATTGAGCTGGAAGAAATGAAGGATTTTGCCTCCCAGTTCTGATATAAGCCAATTGAACTAAAACCTTATACTAGGCAAACCTGGAGAAACCGTAGCTCCACTTTTCCTGGGTAGGGCGCTAAGGAGAAGAAATGGGTTCCTTATGAAAATGACTCTAGAACAGTGTTCTGGAGTGGAGTCTGTGGACAGAATTTACAGGGGTGTGAACTTGGATAGGAAGAAGGTACATGTTTATTTTCACTAATGCCTACCTGAAAATTACCATTTCCTTCCACTGTAAATAGAAGTAACAGATTTTGGTAATATTAACAGTACTTGTAACTTTGTCACCAATTAAAATCACGTATATTTTCATATCACATTACACAAACTCTATCTCAAAACACAAATTGCAACCATTCCTATATTGAAAGTATATTAGTTTGTTATTTAATATATTAATAAAGGAGCACATGTATTACGATGCACAAATTTGTTTTTTTAAATATATTTTGATAATAACCATGTTTGTATATAATTTCTTTCCCCAGGATCCCTAGGTATTTATGCATTTAAGAACATTTTTCTAAGAAGGGTCCATAGGCTTCACAAGACTGTCAAAGGGGGTCTGTGACAGATAACGGGTTAAGAAAATCTCTACAGGTATATTTTTATAGACCCAGGTCCTGCCTCTGTTACATTTCATCTGAGTCCTTTCTTATCTGTTTCTTTCCACTATCACTGTTTTGGTTATAACCAAGACTCTCCTTCTGACCAGTTTCTTTTAACTGAGGACTTCTTTGGTTCTGACTTTGACTTGACATCTTCCCAAAAGCTGCCTCTGTGTTTACACCTCTGCTCTTGCAGTGCAGCCCAAGGATAGTGGCCCTACCCTGACGCTCGGCCCAGGAAACTGACCCACAGGGTTACAACTTCTGGACTGCTGAGGACCAGTGGGAAGAAGGTGTCTTGGCCACCGAAGGAGCTTGTGGCCATTAGAAAACCAGCTAATAACATCAGCAGCACAGAATGGGAAACCTTCAGTCCCAGGCCCTGTGGACCTGTTCCTGCCTCCTGAGGGTGTTTGACTTACTTTTGTGACTTCCCTCACTGCTTCATTTCTTATTTAGACTTCCAGCCCATGACCTGAATTTGTAGCCCCATACAAGGCCCTCCAGACCCAAGAGGTCCACATTTCCATTGCCCGCCATCAGTGGCCATATGGAGCACGTCCATTCCCCACAGCGTGGAGTCTGCCAATTCACAATAACTGGGATCTTCACTCCCTTTGTCTTCCACAAGCACACAGCACTCCCATTTTGGTTCACCCACCTGACCAACACTGGGGGGAATTCCACACTCCCACAAAGAAAAGAATGATACCTTCCAGGGGTGGACAAGGACCATACTAAATCTCCTTCCCTCCACCCGCTTTGTGGGAGAGATCATCCACCTTGTGCTGCGGGGCCCTACTTGGCCATCATGTCAGTAGCACACTCTGACCTCTAGAGGGAGCCCCGTGAATGACGAAGAGGAGCAGCTGTGAGTCTTCAGGGAATGGGGGGCTGGAACCTTGAATCACCAGCTGTCCTGGGGAATGGGGCTCATGTCTGGGCCACATATCCTAAGTTCACTGATGACCTTTAGTGTCCTTTGGGCAGGAATGCCCTACTTAATTTACTTTGTCTGTTCTGGCTCCCCACCCATCTCTGCCCACTGCCAACATTTATCTATTTGGGGGTCATGATTCTTTTTTTTAAAAATCACTTTCATTTTTATTTATAATCAGAAAACAATTAGGAATTAAAGTGGGAAGGTATCTACAAACAACAAATGCTGGAGAGGGTGTGGAGAAAAGGGAACCCTCCTACACTGTCAGTGGGAATGTAAATTGATACAGCAACTATGGAGAACACTATGGAAGTTCGTTAAAAAACTAAAAATAGAACTACCATATGAATCAGCGATCCCACTCCTGGGTATATATTCCAAGAAAAACACGGTTTGAAAGGATACACGCACCCCAGTGTTCATTGCAGCACTGTTTACAATAGCTAAGGCACGTAAGCAACCTAAACGTCCATCGACAGAGGAATGGATAAAGAAGACGTACATATACACAATGGAATATTACTCAGCCATTAAAAAGAATGAAATAATGCCACTTGCAGCAAGATGGATGGACCTGGAGATGATCATACTGAGTAAAGTAAGTCAGACAAAGACAAATATATGATATTGCTTATATGTGGAATCTTAAAAAAATGATACAGATGAACTTATTTACAAAACAGAAACAGACTTACAGACTTAGAGAATGAACTTATGGTTACTGGGGGTGGGGGGAGGGATAGATTGGGAGTTTGGGACTGACATGTACACACTGCTATATTTAAAATAGATAGCGGTCGGGCCCGGCCTGGCGCTTCACTCACGCTGCAGACCCTGCCTTGAGTGCGCAGCTCTCCGGCCCGCGTGAACGCTTCCCCCAGACACCACCACCCTTTGGAATGGCCAGCAGGGGACCTGCCTATGGCCTGAGCCGGGAGGTGCAGCAGAAGATTGAGAAACAATACGATGCAGACCTGGAGCAGGTCCTGATCCAATGGACCACCGCCCAGTGCCGCAAGGATGTGGGCCGGCCCCAGCCTGGGCGCGAGAACTTCCAGAACTGGCTCAAGGATGGCACGATGCTGTGTGAGCTCATTAATGGGCTGTACCCCAAGGGGCAGGCCCCAGTGAGGAAGATCCAGTCCTCCGCCATGGCCTTCAAGCAGATGGAGCAGATCTCCCAGTTCCTGCAAGCAGCCGAGCGCTACGGCATCAACTCCACTGACATCTTCCAGACTGTGGACCTCTGGGAAGGAAAGAACATGGCCTGTGTGCAGCGGACACTGCTGAACCTGGGTGGGCTGGCGGTAGCCCAGAGCAATGGGCTCTTCTCTGGAGATCCCAACTGGTTTCCCAAGAAATCCAAGGAGAACCCTCGGAACTTCTCAGGCGACCAGCTGCAGGAGGGCAAGAATGTGATTGGGTTACAGATGGGGACCAACCGCGGGGCATCTCAGGCAGGCATGACCGGCTACGGGATGCCATGCCAGATCCTCTGATCCCACCCACAGCCCTGCCCCTGCCTGCCATGAATGGTTAATATATATATATATATGTGTGTGTGTGTGTGTGTATATATATATATTTTAGCAGTGACATTCCCTGAGAGCCCCTGGAGATCTCACACTCCCTTCTGCCAGAGTTGGGGCCTGGCCTGTCTCCTCTGAGGGTGCCTGACAGTGGCCTCCCCACCGTGCTTACTAATACATTCCCTTCTCCAAATCCACCAAAATTGGACCAACTGGCCTCTTTTCCCCAGGACCAAAATTAGGGGAGCATCACCCCCTCTCCCCACCATACCTCTTCTCTTTCTCTCTGGCCTCTCTTCCCCTGAGCCCTGTGCCCTAATCCATTCCTTGACTGGGAGTCAGGGATGCTGCCTAATGGCCTTCTCCCCACAAGTACGCCTGGCCCACAGCTGTGGCTGCAGGGACTTAATTTATAGGGAGGGGTCTGTGGCGGCTGCTCCCCCAGCCCCAGCTGGACTGCACTCACCAAGCTTCTGAGGCAGCCTGCCCTGGCAGAGGCCTTCAGGCTTCTCATTTTCCATTCCCCTCTCTGTGGCTAAGGGGTGGGGGTGAGGGGACTGGGGAGGGAAGGCTGCCCTCCATGGGCTGGAGCTTGAAGAATCTGAGTTTGCTGATTTAAATAAAGAATCTCTGTCTTTTAAAAAAAAATTAAATTAAATTAAAAAATAAAATAGATAACCAACAAGGACCTAGTGTAAAATAAATAAATAAATCATAAAAAAGGAAGAAAGTAAAATAAGGTATCATGTTTTACAACAACATTTTAAAATCAAATATGATTAGATGGCAAGATTTATACTCCAAATATTATAATATGACGTTGAGAGAAATTAAGGAAGACTTAAAGGAGATACATGCCATCTCCATGGACTGGAAGACTCAACGTGAAAACCTCTTATTCTCTCCAAAGTGATAGAGACTCACTACCATCCTGGTCAAAATCCCAGCAGGTTTTTTATCCCCGCTGTGTGTGTGACTATAACAAGCTGATTCTAAAATTTTTTTTGTTGTGGTAAAATATATATAACAAAATTTACCATTTTAACTGTTTTAAAGTATACAATTCAGTGGCATTAAGTACACTCGCAATGGTGTTTGGATAGATTCTTGACTGCTCAGGCTAGCCTGACCTCACCATCAGGACCCAAGCACTCCCTTAAAGGAGACTCTGGATTTTAGCAAAGGGGTGCAGTGGGTGTATCTAGAAAGCAACCAGTCTGGGACAAATGTATATATCTAATCTCATCCAGGCTTCTGTCTAGGAATAAACAATGCTCTGCGTCATGGTTAGCTTTAGTTTTTCCCTTTAAGCTGACTGTTGGAAGCACTTCACCACTATGTTATTTTTTTTCTCACTTTTTTATTTGGGAATATTTCAAACACATAGAAGAGTTGACAGTATTGCATAATGAACATCTAGATTCCACCCACCTAGATTTAACAATTTGCAACATTTTGCACAACAATTTTTAACATCAGCTTTCTTTATGCTCTCACCCATCCTCTCATGTGTGATTGTGTTTGTTGACACCCACTTTTTTCCTTCTAGACCATTGGAAAATAAGTTCAGGCATCAAGACGCTTCACCTTAAAATGCTTCAGTATGAATTTCCTAAGAATAAGAACTTTCTCCTACAAAACTTTAATACCCCAGGTGAGAAAAAATATTTTTTATATAGTAGTGTGTATATGTCGATCCCATTCTCCCAATTCTTCACGCCCCCCTCTTTCCCCCTTGGTGTCCGTATGTTCGTTCTCTATGTCTGTGTCGCTATTTCTGCTTTGCTAATAGGTTCATCTGTACTATTTTTCTAGATTCCACATATAAGCGTTAATATATGTTATTCGTTTTTCTCTTCCTGACTTACTTCACTCTGTATGACAGTCTCTATGTCCATCCACGTCTCTGCAAATGATGGAGCCTCAGTACAAAGGGGTTTCCCTGGAGACTCCTGACAAGTACCATCAATTCTGTCTAATATGAACGACAATCCTTTCTAGTACCAAACATATTCCTAACAATACAGTATTGACACTGTCTCTACCCAGCACAATGTGTATCATATTGAAAAGTACCCCTCCTGATATTAGAAGTAATAGGCATCCCCTATACCCCAGAGCCTGCTGAAATTATTCACACTTGCAATCCTAAAGGTGTTTAGCCTGCTGACCCTGCCTCGCCCATTCCTCCCCCTGGGAACCACAATAAAAACTCTTGCCCATATTATACCCTTGTTCTCTCTGCCTCCTAGCTAACCCTTCTGCTTCCCATGTGGCCCTGCATGGTGAGGCATGCCCCCTCCTCTGGGAATTGTGAGAAACCGTCTTTTCAATGGCAATTGTTTTCTGATCTGTTGGCCTCACCATACCTGAATAATATTTAAACCTACATTTGAAAACAAGTATGCAGTTTATAGTTAAGGGAAGGTATGGTAACATCTCAAATGAATGTTAAACGTAGAAGTTGCAGATCTGTGTAGGTGAATCAAGGGAGAATTGCAATGGCCTGTCCAGTACTAGATTAAATTAAGTTAAATTCCTCCCAAGACTAAATGGCAAAATGAGATTCAAAGTCAATGACTATAATACATGCTGATTTATCAGGTAAAGAGATCATTTAAAAGAGAAAAAGCAGAACTAATCATTTGATTTCTTTACTTGTAAAAGGGAAATTTAACTACTTCCCCAGCAGTCTTCAGATTTTCCTTCTGTTAAGAGCAGTATAGGGACTTCCCTGGTGGTGCAGTGATTAAGAATCTGCCTGCCAATGCAGGGAACACAGGTTCGAGCCCTGGTCCGGGAAGATCCTACATGCCGCAGGGCAACTAAGCCCATGTGTCACAACTAGTGAGCCTGCACTCTAGAGCCTATAAGCCACAACTACTGAGCCTGTGTGCCACAACTACTGAAGCCCACGTGCCTAGAGCCCGTGCTCCACTACAAGAGAAGCCACTGCCGTGAGAAGCCCACGCACGGCAAGGAAGAGTAGCCCTGGCTCACCGCAGCTAGAGAAAGACTGCGTGCAGCAGCAAATACCCAGAGCAGCCAAAAATAGTTAATTAAAAAAAAAAAAAGAGCAGTACAGAGCATGGCATCTATTTCCATCCAGATATGTGTGTCACTTACAGATTCAACATAATCTTTATCAAAATCTCAGCTGCCCCCCCGAAATTGACAAACTAGAATTTATACGGAAATGAAAGGGACTCAGAATAGCCAAAGCTATCTTAAAAAGAAAGAAGTAGGAGGACTTGCACTTCCTGATTTCAAAACTTGCTACAAAGCTACAGTAATCAAATAGTGTGGTACTGGCATAAAAATATACATACTGATCAATGAAAAAGAATTGAGAATCTAAAAATAAACCCTCACATTTATGATCAACTGATTTTCAAAAAGGGTGCCAAGATAATTCAATGGGGGAAAGAATAATCTTTTCAATGAATGGTGCTACAACACTGGATATCCTCATGCTAAAGAATAAAGTTGGACCCTTTGCTTACATCATACACAAAAATTAACTCCAAATGGATTATATACCTAAAAATAGAGCTAAAACTATAAAACTTTTAGAAGAAGGAGTTTAAGAAACATAGGAGTAGGTCTTCATAACATTGCATTAGGCAAAGTCTTCTTAGGTGTCCATCAAAAAAGTGAAAAGACAAATCCACAGAAAGGGAGAAAATATTTTCAAATCATGTAGCTGTTAAGCAACTTATATCCAAAATATACAAAGTGTCTTATAACTCAATGACGAAAAGGCAAAGAACAATTTAAAAATAGGCAAAGAACATAGAGAGAAACGAAACTGAGTTATTTGTAGTGAGGTGGATGGACCTAGAGTCTGTCATACAGAGTGAAGTAAGTCAGAAAGAGAAAAACAAATACCATGTGCTAACGCATATATATGGAATCTAGAAAAATGGTACCGATTAACCTAGTGGTGGGGCAGGAATAAAGATGCAGACGTTGAGAAAGGACTTGAGGACACGGGGAGGGGGAAGGGGTGGCTGGGATGCAGTGAGAGAGTGGCATGGACATATATACACTACCAGATGTAAAATAGATAGCTAGTGGGAAGCAGCCACATAGCACAGGGAGATCAGCTCGGTGCTTTGTGACCACCTAGAGGGGTGGGTTAGGGAGGGTGGGAGGGAGACGCAAGAGGGAGGGGATATGGGGATATATGTATGCGTATAGCTGATTCACTTTGTTGTATAGCAGAAACTAACACAACATTGTAAAGCAATTATACTACAATAAAGATGTATAAAAAATAAAATAAAATAAAAATAGGCAAAGGATATGAACAGATATTTCTCTGAAGATATACAAATGACCAATAAGCATTTGAAAAGATGCTCAGTTTCATTCATCATTAGAGAGATACAAATCAAAAGCACAATGAGATACCAATTCACACCCGGTAGGATGGCTATGGTAAAAGGGACAATAACAAATGCTGGTGAGCAGTTAGTGTAATTGGAAACCTCATGCACTGCTGGTGGGAATGTAAAATGGTGCAGTCACTTTGTGAAAAGAAAAGTCTGTCAGTTCCTGAGACAGAGTTATCCTATGGACAGAAATTCCACTCATAGATATACCAAGAGGGATGAACACATATGTCCACACAAAAACTTGTACATGAATGTTCACAGCAGCATTATTCATAGTAGCCAAAAAAATAGCAATAACTTAAATGTCCATCAGCTGATAAATGGATACATCAAATGTGGTACAACCATATAATGGAATATTTATTCAGTCATAAAAAGGAAAGAAGTATTGATACATACTACAAATGGATGAACCTTAAAGACATTATTGTAAGTGAAAGAAGCCAGTCACAGAAGGCCACATGTTGTATGATTCCATTTCTATGAAATGTCAAAAAGAGGCAAATCCATAGGGACAGAAAGTAGATTAGTGGCAGCTGAGGGATGGTGCGGGGTGGGGGGTTGGTGGGAAATAGGAAGTGACTGCTC